GGCTACTTTGAAGAATCTAAAATAGATGTTGATTTGTTTACACTTTTTTGGTTACTACATGATTCCATATGTGTTATTTCATAGTTTTGATGTCTTCACTATTATTCTACAATGTAGAAAACAGTAAAAATAAAGAAAAACCCTGGAATGAGTAGGCGTGTCCAAACTTTTGACTGGTACTATATATTTATTATGTCCCACCCACTTCTAAAACCAAAGTTGCGCCCCTGGATACTAGCCTCATGCCATGAATATGCATAGCCATCTCAAGACAACTCTGATATAAAGTGTTTTTTCTCAAAGTTGACGGGTTGTCACGTGTCCTACTTATATCAGTACACTCGTAACAACTTAAGCATTACAAAACTTTGATTAGACCAAATAAACCTCACGTCGCAAATAAGCCATTCATTTTTTTGGCTGACCAAATTCAACACTCATTGACCTCCGTACAAAAACTCCTTGCTTGGAGGGCGAAACAACGGAGAAAAACACCACCTGCTGGAGGGAGATTTTCCGCAGAGTTGGCCTTCTCTTCCTCTTTCTCTCTGGTTCAAGTCAGTAGGACTTCGAGAGCAGGTTTGAGGAGTTAGAGAATTAACTTTGGTCAACTCTGAGTTCAACTCGGGATAACCGGTCATACGAAAGTGGCTCATCTTTTAGCCAGGTAAATTTCTATGGCAACGAATCCTTCAGAACTAACCTACTCCAGGGCAGGCTAACTCACATTTAACTCCACTTAGGCAACTTGAAAGAAATGACTGAACCGCGAGTTGAGGACCAATGAAATCAGATTCCCTTCCTCTTCCAAAGATTGCTTCATCATCCCCTTCATTTGAGGAAGATGATATTGTATTAATCAAATGTTCGTTTTTTTGTATTAAAAAATAGTAACGTTAAAATATAGCACAATACACATTTAGTAATGACAGAATGTGTTTTAGGCTAAACTTCACGCAATATAACACTTTTGTATGAATTAATAAAAAGATATACACTACATGACCAAAAGTATGTGGACACCTGCTGGTCGAACATATCATTCCAAAATCATGTGCATTAATATGGAGTTGATGCTTTGATGCGATAACACCCTCCACTCTTCTAGGAAGGCTTTCCACTAGATGTTGGAACATTGCTGCGGGGACGTGCTTCCATTCAGCCACAAAAGCATTAGTGAGGTCAGGCACTGATGTTGGACGATTAGCCCTGGCTCGCAGTTGGCGTTCCAATTCATCCCAAAGGTGTTCAATGGGGTTGAGGACAGGGCTCTGTGCAGGCCAGTCAAGTTCTTCCACACCGATCTCGACAAACCATTTCTGTATGGACCTCACTTTGTGCACGGGGGCATTGTCATGCTGAAACAGGAAAGGCCCTTCCCCAAACTGTTGCCACAAAGGTGAAAGCACAGAATCGTCTAGAATGTCATTGTATGTTGTAGCGTTAAGACTTCACTGGAACTAAGGGGCCTAGCCCGAACCATGAAAAACAGCCCCAGACCATTATTCCTCCTCCACCAAACTTTACTGTTGGCAGTATGCATTCAGGCAGGTAGCGTTCTCCTGGCTTCCGCCAAACCCAGTTTCGTTCATCGGACTGTCAGATGGTGAAGCTTTATACCACTCTAGCCAACGCTTGGCATTGCACATGGTGATCTTAGGCTTGTGTGCGGCTGCTTGGCCTTGGAAACCGATTTAATGAAGCTCCCGACGAACAGTTCTTGGGCTGACGTTGTTTCCAGAGGCAGTTTGGAACTCGGTAGTGAGTGTTGCAACCGAGGACAGACGATTTTTACTTCAGCACTTGGAGGTTCCGTTCTGTGAGCTTGTATGGCCTACCACTTCATTGTTGCTCCTAGATGTTTCTTCAGTAAGGCCATTCTACTGCCAATGTTTGTTTATGGAGATTGCATGGCTGTGTACTCGATTTTATACACGTCAGCAATGGGTGTGGCTGAAATAGCCCAATCCACTAATTTGAAGGGGTGTCCACATACTTTTGTGTATATATAGTGTATATCGATAGGAGTGGGGAAAAAGGTGGTTGTGCATTGATAAGTACCCCACAGCACACCAAAATAAAGACTGCACTTCTAAAAGCCTATTTCACACCATAGTCTGCTGAATTTGCGAGACAACTTTTATTTTATTTTAATTTCGGCACAAATGAAAATGTGGCACTGACTCCCTCATGGATTGATGTTTCAGCATTGTCTCAACCCTTACGAAAAAAGATTGCAGTATGAGGCAGTATAACTGCAGTATGCTGCAAATACTGCCTCCAAAATAACACAGTTATTTTTTGTGTGCAGTAATTTTGCAGTGTAACTGCAGGTAGAGTTCAAATGCAGTACACTGCAGTTATTCTGAAATTACTGCGTCCAAAACACCAAAGTCTACTGCAGTTCCTGCAATTCTACTGCAGTTTAAAAACTGCAATATTTTATTGTAAGGGAATGAAGAGTTCGGAGTTCGACTATCCATTTGCAACATGCACGCGCAGTTACCTGCTAGAGTTCGACAGGCAGACGAGCAATAACCACCGTCATAGTACGGATGAAGTTTGAGCTGGAATATGAAGCTAACTGAAGCTGTTTAGCTTTAGAAAACCCTGAGTAGATCTAGCTTGATTCGTAGGATATCACTCTTCTGTCAGCCAGACCACACTGAACCTGCCTAGATGACAAACATTGGTCTGCATGTTAATAAACACACCGCTAGATGGCAGTAACACAGAGGCTCATTTACATCAGGGGTGCATTCAGTTCGCTTCAACGTTTGCTCGACGGTTTGTACTGAACGACACGTTTCCCCAAAACGGCGCGCACGGTTCTTCAACATGTACCTTTGCTTCCGTTTGGTGGGTGTGGCGAGGTGTGACCATTTGAAATAACAAAACTCGCCATATTGTAATCGCCCTCTGGGACACCATAATCACAACGTGTTTCAATTGATCATTCGGTACAAGTACCGTTTCTGTTAATTTCAACGTTGCACAACCCAGCTCTCATGTGTGGGTGGTTATTTGGAAACTGGTATCTGTGTGAGCGGTGAATTACAGGTATGAGGTAGTATTTCTGTGAATTGACATGTTTAAATCTGCAAAACAGTAATTCTATATTTAATATTAGTGTATAAATACAGTAGTGAGGGATGGGCCAGGTTGGCTATTTTAGCCCGGAACAACATGCTCAAACGACAACTGAGAGTAAGGTTTAATTCAATTTATTTATATAGGTGGAAATGTTGAAAGTACCAATCTACAGCTGTAAAAATACATATGGATACAAAATCTCTGCCCAATAAAAATACATATGGATACATCTCCGCCCTTCTAAGGATAATTGATTTTCAAACGGTTTCCTGTCATGGATTTTGGTAATCCAAAAGACAGCAGCACATTCTAATTTCTATCAATTCTATGGTCCTATCCCTCCTAACCCAGATAGTCCAATGAAAAGAGTGCCTTAGTCTTCCAGTAAAGTAGCAACCAGACCAAACCATGTAGCTACAATTGTGTTTGTTTGTACAATTTTGTTTGTTTGCCTATTACAATTCTGTTTGTATGATTTAATTGCTATGGATTGTGGATGTCGCTTGAAAGGTGGGCATTTTTAACAATTTAGGGCGTGGCACGAGCCAACGACACAGACTTTGGCCAATAATCGTGGAAAACGAGATTTTATGTGCAGGCCAATAGCCAATCAACTGCAAGCAATAGGCTGCGATTCCCTGTGCATGGATTCTGTGCTGCAACTGCAAGAAAGCGAACATAGGAAGTGCGTTTCTAGTAGGGTTGAAGCAAAACTCTGCGGTTGAAGTAGCGAATATTGGCGTGGATGTGGATCAATACTACCAGGGGATAAATTACACAACCATACCATCATAGTTGTGAGCTCGGGGTCGTACGATAGGCTACGCTGCAAGCATCCCCGGCGCCATCTGGGAGGGAGAGGTTGTGTTGTGGCTTGCTGGTATTGCCGGGTACGACACGGCGTGGGTTAGCTAAGGTGGGCCTTGGTATCTGATTGACCAGCCAGCTAGCGACTTCAAATAATATAAAATCAAGTGTCAATCAACACTTACAACTTGCTCATTTTTTGCTGTGAATAGCAATTTCACAGCCTTCTGGGCGCATCCTAATTCGAAATTGATTGGACTATCACGCGAACTACAGTAGTCAAATGGGTGAGTAGCAACATTGTATCTGAATAATACGTCATCCAGTTGTCAATTATTGTAAAGATAAAACAGACAGACGTCGACATAGTAGCCCACAATGCCAGGGTAGGTGGTGCGTATCGTACATTTCCAAGCTAACTAACTAAATGTTTCCCTTGTTTGCAGCTAACTAGAAGACCGCACTCTGTGTCTCGAGTTCTTGATTCGTACGAGTAGGTGGGGTGAATATAGAGGAAACGGGAAGCTGTCTGTTCGCTTGCCCATGATATGACATTATGTAACACGAGCATTACTAGACAGAACCTGCATTTCTGACAGCCATACTGCTTTCATTTTTTGTTTCAGCTCGAGCCTCGTATGGAATATATTGCATTGAATCCTCAACTATGGATTATTTAGCTAACCACAAATTATAGATACTACCACATTACCACATGCATACATGTTGACATCAGTACTACTTGTTTACTATCATCATCAGTGTACTGCACTGTAGTCAGCGCAGACATGTATTAAATCCATATCACACTGTGTTATGCAATAGACCTACACACACATACATATACATACACACACACTGACGAATCGAGCTGTTCATGTTGCCTTTTATAGTAATTGTGTGCCTGACATTTAGCAAGACAAATGCATTGACTGAGGATGCTCTCTTTTGGGAGTAATGTAGCTACTCCCATTTTTAACTAGAATACATTATATCCAGTGACTTGTATTGGATTGTTTAGTAGGATATACTCTTGTCTCATCAGGGTTTTTGAGTATTCCAGAATTCTAGGGTATATTTTGTATATCCATTGCCATACAATGTGCAAGCACACGGTACTAGCCTCCAGAATCTTCCATTATGCGATTCTGCAGAAAGGAGGTCAGATGAACCCATCCGTCCACAGACACATATCTTTATAGGACAGGGGTGGGCATCTTACCCTATGAGGGGCAGTGTGGGTGCAGGCTTTTGCTCCAGCGAAGCAGGAACACACTTAATTCATTGCATTTATCAATGCTTTGATTGAAGACTGGTGAGTAGAATCATCAATAGGCACAGAAATCTAGACCTATTACTTATGGAGGATTGACTGGCCCTGTCTTTATGCAAACATTGCTTGTTATGAAAACGCCTCACTCAGGCCTCATTAGCCAGAGGGAGGGACCCTTACAGATACCATAATCTGAATGGCAAGAAAAATCCATCATATAATGGAGGCCAGCCTGAAAAAACACAGATCATTTGACTGGATTCAAAATTGTCACACGGTTTAATCCAAATCCTCACTGCACACATTTAATAGACCATCTGCAGGAGGGGGAATGTCAGGGTCTTTGCTCTTTCACTCTCTCTCTCTCGCTCTTCTCCGTGTGTGGGTGGCTGTCACCTCAGCTGCTCTTGGCCTCGGGCAGCCCATTAGCTGAGCACTGTAACAGCTCTGGATGTCAAAATCTCTAAATAATTATTAGTTGGCCCAGCATACCAGGCATACTGTTTAGACACAGAGAATGTCCATTATGATAAGAACCCGTCACATAGTACTGCCTGTGACTGAGGCGGTTCCCATAATGACTTGAACTCATATCCATACAATATTATTGTATTGGCATGCTCCTGTTTACCCAATGTTTGTTGATGCAGTCGTAATGGTCTGATACCCACTGGCACATGTCAGCTATGCCCACGGTTGTAAAACTCCTCAGGGATGAGTTCTACAGCTGCTCATGTCCTGATTATACTGGGGCTCACTGCTGTATGGCCAGTCTGTCACAGTGTTGTCTAGAGCCACCGTTTGAGAAGGAGGATGAGGGAGGGAGGTGGAAGTGAGGATGCGGGACATGGCTGTGTGCATCCTTATGTAGGAGGAGCCTGAAGGCTTTGGTTGGTCGGTCTGTCGACCTTTCAGGCTCTTGGTGTGTAATAACTAGGGGTGTAACGATCCATCTACTACATCGATGTATCGATTTATATTCCTATGATCCAACTACATCGATCTGTGCTCGGCGAGTTGGCCTTTTGGACAACATATATCGATCTAACATCGTTTTAAAATGTAATAAATCGATTGTATCGATACTAGGAAATAACCCATTGGATTTAAGCACGTCAGACTTTATATGGATGTTTTTTCTTAGCACTTTTAATGATAAAGGCTTTAAACATTACTCGATTCAGTCTACCTATCCGTGACGTCATCGCGCCAACAGCAGCGCAAAGGCGCAAAGACAACAAAACATAGCATGGCGGACGAAAGAGGAGAAGCCAACGAGCGAGAAATTATCAAGCCACCATTGCGGTCCTTACAAGAAACAGGAATCTAGGAAACTTCACCTGCACTGTCCAGTATCCAGGTATTTATTTCAGTCACACTGGTTGAATTTTTGGCTAAAAGGTTACTGAATCGATTTCAAGTCACTGAATCGTTTCGGATCGTATCGTTCTAAATGAACCAATATCGTCCTTGAATCGTATCGACAACCACGAATCGTGATACAAATCGAATCGTTGTTAAAACGAATCGTTACACCCCTAGTAATAACGTTACTAGCAAAACACCGTGTTTTTCGGCTACTTGCTTTGAGACACATTTCTATTAAAATCAAAGTTTATTAGTACACAGATTTCCAGATGTTATTGCAGGTGCAGCAAAATGCTTGTGTTTCTAGCTCCAACAATGTAGTAATAATACTTAGCAATACAAAACAATACACACATACTTCTTAATTTCTACTTTTTGGATTATCAGAATGAGCAATGTCAGTGTCCGGAATATATATAATGGTGTATATAGACAGTATGGACAGTATATTAATATTAAAGGTGTACAGCAGTAGTTACATAGGATTAACCATGATTAGAATACAGCATATACAGTGCATTCGAAAAGTATTCATACCTCTTTCCTATTTCCACATTTTGTTATATTATAGCCTTATTCTAAAATGTATTTAAAAAAAAATCATAATAATCATAATAATGACAAAGCGAAAACAGGTTTTTAGAAATGTTTGCAAATTTATAAAAAAATACAAAACAGAAATGCCCTATTTACATAAGTATTCAGACCCTTTGCTATAAGAGTTGAAGTTGAGCTCCGGTGCATCCTGTTTCCATTGATCAGGTGCATCCTGTTTCCATTGATCATCCTTGAGATGTTTCTACAACTTGATTAGAGTCCACCTGTGGTAAATTAATTTGATTGGACATAATTTGAAAAGGCACACACCTGTCTATATAAGGTCCCACAGTTGACAGTGCATGTCAGAGCAAAAACCAAGCCATAAAGTCGAAGGAATTGTCCGTAGAGCTCCGAGACAGGATTGTGTCGAGGCACAGATTTGGGGAAGGGTACCAAAAAATGTCTGCAGCATTGAAGGTCCCCAAGAACACAGTGGCCTCCATCATTCTTAAATGGAAGAAGTTTAGAACCACCAAGACTCTTCCTAGAGCTGGCCACCCGGCCAAATTGAGCAATCGGGGGAGAAGGGTCTTGGACAGGGAGGTGATCAAGAACCCGATAGTCACTCTGACAGAGCTCCAGAGTTCCTCTGTGGAGATGGGAGAACCTTCCAGAAGGACAATCATCTCTGCAGCACTCCACCAATCAGGCCTTTATGGTAGAGTGGCCAGACGGAAGCCACTCCTCAGTAAAAGGCACATGACAGCCCACTTGGAGTTTGCCAAAAGGCACCTAAAGGACTCAGACCATGAGAAACAAGATTCTCTGGTCTGATGAAACCAAGATTGAACTCTTTGGCCTGAATGCCAAGTGTTACGTCTGGAGGAACCTGGCACCATCCCTATGGTAAAGCATGGTGGTGGCAACATCATGCTGTGGGGTTGTTTTTAAGCGGCAGGGACTGGGAGACTAGTCAGGATCGAGGGAAAGATGAACGGACTTGAACCCAATTGAACATCTCTGGAGAGACCTGAAAATAGCTGTGCAGCGACGCTCCCCATCCAACCTGACAGAGCTTGAGAGGATCTGCAGAGAACAATGGGAGAAACTCCCCAAATACAGGTGTGCCAAGCTTGTAGCATCATACCCAAGAAGACTCTAGGCTGTAATCGCTGCCAAAGGTGCTTCAACAAAGTACTGAGTAAAGGGTCTGAATAATTACGTAAATGTGATGTTTCCGGTTTTTATTTTTATACATTTGCAAAGATTTATATAAACCTCTTTTAGCTTTGTCATTATGGGGTATTGTGTGTAGATTGATTAGGGAAAAAAACCAATTTAATCAGTTCTAGAATAAGGCTGTAACGTAACAAAAAGGTGGAAAAAGTCAAGGGGTCTCAATACTTTCCGAATTCACTGTACATAAAAAGTGGGTAAAACAGTATGTAAACATTATTAAAGTGACCAGTGTTCAATGGCTCTATGTACAGAGGGCAAAGCAGTCTCCAAGGTGCAGGGTAGAGTACCGGGTGATAGCCGGCTAGTAACAGTGACTAAGGTTCAGGGCAGGATACTAGGCAGACGACGGCTAGTGGTGACTGTATAACAGTCGGATTCAGACATTGACAGAATGATGGATGTTGGATTTAGTGTAGCCTATATGTCCTCTCAAATGCCTTTTAAACTGTGTGATATTACTTGGGCCATACATTATAGAGCAACCCACAAGGTTGCAACTGTAGTCAAATCTGACATCCAGCCCTTGATAAAAACATTGAATAGTATACGCTACCTAAGACCTAGGAGTAAACTGAGGTCAGGACCACTGCTCATTCATCTTTTTTTTAACCTTTCCCCCTCTCCCAGCAGATAACCTGAGTGATGCTTTGAAGAAGCTGAAGCTAGCCTCAGTGGACAGCGCCACAGACAGTGTGGAGAGCTGCCTGGACTGCCTGCTCAAAGCACTGGCCCACAACAGTAAGTTTGACCCACACTCCTCAGACTAAGTGACATTACTGGAGGGTACCCTTTAGGACCTTACAGGATGGACGCAAGTTTATGGTGCTTTCAAGACCACTGGGAAGCAGGGGCGGTGTGTTCATTAGGGCGATATGGGCGACGCACTGCCAAACGGGAAAAGGAAGGGATTTTTTTTCTAATCAATTATATCACGGCAACAGTAGTTATCAGTGTTCTAATCTAGACGTCTGATCTGCCACTAAATGTCCAATCAGGCTAAAGTCGTGCTTCAAATGGCCCCGCCCCTTTTGGGGCGATTTCAGTCGGGTTGAAAATCGCCCCAGAAGTCTCTCATAGACTCTCATGTAAAATCTATTTTTTTCAAATATCAGAGCTTTCAATACAATCTCTATGGGTTCCGGGAGGGCTTGCACTTACGCGCTTTCGTCATACGTAACATAACCATGAACGTAACTAAGAAAAGAGCGGGTAGCAGCGTCAATCAATTCACGTACTACTGTCAAGATGGCTAGCGTTCAGTGCAACTCGATTGTCTCTTTGAAAGAAGTTCCTTTTTGTCGGCGAACAAATCAAGATAAATTGGCAACGAAACAATTAGGACCTCCCAGACCAAATTTAATAATTCAACAGGTTTCTACTAAAGGGGGAAAGTCCTACACCCGAGGATTTTCCAAAAATTGGTACGAACGAAAAACCTGGCTAGCAGGCTGCGATGTAGCTAATGCAGTCTTCTGCTACCCCTGCTTACTCTTTCACCCTGAAGGCGGCACGGCAGACAGCACCGCTTGGACAGCGACTGGTGTAACGGACATGCACCATCTTTCAGAAAAGATTAAGAAACATGAGCTGTCAAAGACCCACATGGATAGCTGTTTGAGATTGTCTGCTTTGGGGAGAGTGAACATTGCCACTCAACTGGATGAGGGATACAGGCTAGCTGTCCGCCGCCACAACGATGAGGTTAGCAAGAACCGCCACATCCTCAGCCGGCTAATCCAGTGTGTGAAGTTTTGCGGAGTGTTTGAGTTAGCTTTGCGAGGCAAAGATGAAACTGAGGGCTCCACCAACCCTGGTATTTTTCTTGGACTTGTCAACTTTGTGGCACAATTAGATGAGGTGTTTTATGGAAATGCATATTGTTTATGCAGTGTTGAGGAATGTGAAAGAACACCCTTGATTATTTTTACTGTGATAACTAATTTTGCTATTGTAAGCCAACACTTTTGAGATCAGTCAATAAATGCTTCTGGTATTGACTTATATGCTGCCCCTGTCTTCATGTTGTTGCTAGACATATCTTTTTTTAAATGTGTGTAGGTCACCTAAATCATCAGAAAAATTGCCCCCCCTGAGAATTTTTTCAGGAGCCGCCAATGCTGGGAAGTCTGATTTAAAACAAGGTCAAATCATTACGGTTGGAAAGTCGGAGCTCTAGAAAGATGCCTGAGTTTTCCCAATTGGAATTCCGACCCGGGATGACCGCTTAAAGCTTTTTTTCCCCCAGTCGGAGCACGTTTTTTCCACAGAGTTCCCAGTTGTCTTGAACGCACTAAAGTAAGAAGTCTGGGTTTTCCGAGTTCCCAGTTGTTTTGAACGCGGCGTTAATCTATCATTGACACATCAGCCCTCTAATGGGTTATATTTAGTGGATGCTTCTGGTTACTGTACCAGTTCTGCTAGGTAAGGGGATTATGTGACACTCAAAACCATAGAAAATCTCTAAAGAAAATGATGGAGAACATATAGTAGCTAACTTTCTAGTCACCAGGCTCACATTTGTTTTCGTGCAAGGCCCATCTCAGCCAGCCTTATTCACAAACTTGTCCGTCCGCCTGCCTTAGTTTGGGTAACATAACCATCTGCCCGTTTTGGCTCGGCCTAGCCAGTGTCTTGTTGTTTGGGCATTTTATTGGCCTTATTTCTGTGTTTTTTAAGTTCATTTAGTTGCTGGCTATCTGCATCCTCTGCTGTCTTTTAGCTTTGTGTGTACTGTTGTAGCTTTAATGTTCTACTGCACTTGGCAGCGCAACCCACCCTCTTCCTGTCTCTCTCAGCATTGGCAAGTGATGGTTCTGAAGGTACAGTAGTCTGTTTGGGTGAGGTGCTGACCAAGAAAATAAAAATGCTCGCACACTTTTTCTGAAACCACCTTTAGCCTAATAATACAAATCAGTGATTGTGATGATCATTTATTTGGTTAACAATAATAATTTCATGGCTGCGCTAGTTTCGACCCGCGAATCATTTTATTGATATGGGTCCCTGTCTGGAGCCTGGCTTGGGATGATCATAAATAACCCCACAAGTTGAACGACCTGGATGGAATGGAAAAGGATTATCCGCTTCGCCTTGCCCAACTCACCCCATGGCTCTTTCTCAATTAATCCTTCCTCTCTACTTGCCTCCTTTTCAAAAAGCTTTGGAGCGGGTCAAAGGGCAGGGGCCTTCTCCTTCAATAGAGAAAGGGAAAGGGTATACCTAGTCAGTTGCACAACTGAATGCATCCAACCAAAATGTGTCTTCCGCATTTAACCCAACGCCTCTGAATCAGAGAGGTGCGGGGGGCTGCCTTAATCAGCGACCATGTCATTTGCGCCCGGAGAGCAGTTGTTGTGGGGGTTAACTGCCTTGCTCAAGGGCAGAACGGCAGGTTTTTCCACCTTGTCAGCCCAACGCTCTTAACCGCTAGGCTACATGCTGACAGAGGGGGGAAAGGGGATAGAATGCAAGGATTCATAGAAAGACAAATTGAGATAAAGCCCTTTTTTTCAACTGTTCACCTCTTCTCTTCCCCCTTCTCTTTTCCCCTCCTAGATGCTGATGCCAGTGAGAAGATCCAGGAGATGGGCGTTCTCCCCCTGCTTCCCACCCTGCTGGCCCCACAGTCCTCCTGCACCCCCAAAGTAGCCAACATCATAGCCGATGTGGCCAAAAATGGTGAGGCTCCCTTCGCTTGGTTTCTCCACATCTCATCTCATCCTCCCCAGGAAACATCATTCTCCTCACTTTTGGTTCCGCCATCTTGTCAGTATACAATTTTTACACTTTCTTTGTTCTCAGTTTTACAGTGGGGGAAAAAAGTATTTAGTCAGCCACCAATTGTGCAAGTTCTCCCACTTAAAAAGATGAGAGGCCTGTAATTTTCATCATAGGTACACGTCAACTATGACAGACAAAATGAGAAAGAAAATTCCAGAAAATCACATTGAAGGATTTTTAATGAATTTATTTGCAGATTATGGTGGAAAATAAGTATTTGGTCAATAACAAAAGTTTCTCAATACTTTGCTATATACCCTTTGTTGGCAATGACACAGGTCAAACGTTTTCTGTAAGTCTTCACAAGGTTTTCACACACTGTTGCTAGTATTTTGGCCCATTCCTCCATGCAGATCTCCTCTAGAGCAGTGATGTTTTGGGGCTGTCGCTGGGCAACACGGACTTTCAACTCCCTCCAAAGATTTTCTATTGGGTTGAGATCTGGAGACTGGCTAGGCCACTCCAGGACCTTGAAATGCTTCTTACGAAGCCACTCCTTCGTCGCCCGGGCGGTGTGTTTGGGATCATTGTCATGCTGAAAAACCCAGCCACGTTTCATCTTCAATGCCCTTGCTGATGGAAGGAGGTTTTCACTCAAAATCTCACGATACATGGCCCCATTCATTCTTTCCTTTACACGGATCAGTCGTCCTGGTCCCTTTGCAGAAAAACAGCCCCAAAGCATGATGTTTCCACCCCCATGCTTCACAGTAGGTATGGTGTTCTTTGGATGCAACTCAGCATTCTTTGTCCTCCAAACACGACGAGTTGAGTTTTTACCAAAAAGTTCTATTTTGGTTTCATCTGACATTCTCCCAATCCTCTTCTGGATCATCCAAATGCACTCTAGCAAACTTCAGACAGGCCTGGACATGTACTGGCTTAAGCAGGGGGACACGTCTGGCACTGCAGGATTTCAGTCCCTGGCGGCGTAGTGTGTTACTGGTGGTAGGCTTTGTTACTTTGGTCCCAGCTCTCTGCAGGTCATTCACTAGGTCCCCCCGTGTGGTTCTGGGATTTTTGCTCACCGTTCTTGTGATCATTTTGATCCCACGGGGTGAGATCTTGCGTGGAGCCCCAGATCGAGGGAGATTATCAGTGGTCTTGTATGTCTTCCATTTCCTAATAATTGCTCCCACAGTTGATTTCTTCAAACCAAGCTGCTTACCTATTGCAGATTCAGTCTTCCCAGCCTGGTGCAGGTCTACAATTTTGTTTCTGGTGTCCTTTGACAGCTCTTTGGTCTTGGCCATAGTGGAGTTTGGAGTGTGACTGTTTGAGGTTGTGGACAGGTGTCTTTTATACTGATAACAAGTTCAAACAGGTGCCATTAATACAGGTAACGAGTGGAGGACAGAGGAGCCTCTTAAAGAAGAAGTTACAGGTCTGTGAGAGCCAGAAATCTTGCTTGTTTGTAGGTGACCAAATACTTATTTTCCACCATATAATTTGCAAATAAATTCATTAAAAATCCTACGTGATTTTCTGGATTTTTTTTCTCAATTTGTCTGTCATAGTTGACGTGTACCTATGATGAAAATTACAGGCCTCTCATCTTTTTAAGTGGGAGAACTTGCACAATTGGTGGCTGACTAAATACTTTTTTTCCCCACTGTATGTGTATGTCTGTCATACAGTGGCGATTTAGCCTACATATTTATGTATTTCTCATTTAGTTAGCATTATCTTAATGTTCTATATTAACCTTTTAGACCCCAATAGAAAAACTAGAATGCTGCTGTAGCTTACTGAGAATTTTCAAGATAAAGCACATTTTTCTCACACATTTCAAACACACAGACAACTCAAAAACAAAGAACAAATGACAATTACAAGTTAACTTAGTTTTAAAGAGCACAACCTCTTCTTCAATGACACCACATTCATGTCAATAGGAATAACACTCATTTTGTCTTCCATTGTGTAAAGACACTCACTATCAAAAAACGATTAACGCAAAACACTAGAGTATTTCTATTGTAGTACATTTGACTAAATTCTCACAAAAAATGTACCAAGTATAATATATTATACTTATGAATATTATTTACATATAAATAAAAATATAATCCAAAATGTGACCTTAGGACAATATTCAGAAAGTATTTCAAAACCTACACAAAGAAGGCTATTTGATTGATGATTTTTAATGCGAACAACTATTCAGAGACTATTTAAAAATTTAGGTAACTTCTCTCAATAAGATTTAGTACAAACCAGACCTGACACAAAATGTAGAAATTGACAACAATTCAGTGACTGCAACAAGTATTAGATAGAGAATAAAAAAACACAACTGTTCAGAGACAGGAAAAGATTTGTAGGACAAATTCATATTTCATACTGTCACTTTAGTGTTTGCATTTAGCCTACAACATGTCATGGAACTTCTGGAAGCACGACCCCATCATGCAAAGTGGCACAGAACACGTAGAGCACCCAAAGAGGTTCCTACACATCTCCCACTCTGCCCTGCGTCTACTCCGGATGCACACCACACACCCTCTCTTGTGCCCTTCAAACTTCACCTGCTTTCAAAAGAGTTACAACTCGGTCCACACGCCCTGGTGCCACACTCTTGGCTCCCCTCTTCCTGCCACTGTAGCCATATCACAAAGTGAATGCACAAGCTGCATTTTGAATGCCTTTGCAGGGTCCCCCACACAATGTACAGTGGGGAAGAAAAGTATTTAGTCAGCCACCAATTGTGCAAGTTCTCCCACTTAAAAAGATGAGAGGCCTGTAATTTTCATCATAGGTACACGTCAACTATGACAGACAAAATGAGAGAAACAATTCCAGAAAATCACATTGTAGGATTTTTAATGAATTTATTTGCAAATTATGGTGGAAAATAAGTATTTGGTCACCTACAAACAAGCAAGATTTCTGGCTCTCACAGACCTGTAACTTCTTCTTTAAGAGGCTCCTCTGTCCTCCACTCGTTACCCGTATTAATGGCACCTGTTTGAACTTGTTATCAGTATAAAAGACACCTGTCCACAACCTCAAACAGTCACACTCCAAACTCCACTATGGCCAAGACCAAAGAGCTGTCAAAGGACACCAGAAACAAAATTGTAGACCTGCACCAGGTTGGGAAGACTGAATCTGCAATAGGTAAGCAGCTTGGTTTGAAGAAATCAACTGTGGGAGCAATTATTAGGAAATGGAAGACATACAAGCCCACTGATAATCTCCCTCGATCTGGGGCTCCTCGCAAGATCTCACCCTGTGGGGTCAAAATAATCACAAGAACGGTGAGCAAAAATCCCAGAACCACACGGGGGGACCTAGTGAATGACCTGCAGAGAGCTGGGACCAAAGTAACAAAGCCTACCATCAGTAACACACTACACCGCCAGGGACTCAAATCCTGCAGCGCCAGACGTGTCCCCCTGCTTAAGCCAAAAGAAAAAGTATTTATTTCACGTCTTTTTTTTCCAATCATTTTATTTCAATTAAAGGTTCGATTTTTATGAATATTTTGAATGAAAGACCAAGAGGATAAACAGCAAAGACATTTTTTTCACAGCCCGTTTTGCTCATATTTACCAAGGGTGCCAATATTAGTGGAGGGCACTGTGCAGTACTTCCACCATTTTCTGCCTGTGTGTCCAAGATTGTAATAGCTCCTCAGTTGGTCAAGATGGTCAACCCCTCCCCTTTTCTTGTTGTAATCCATTACAAGCTCTGGAACAGATATAAGTGCCTACCACTTTTAAAAACAACTCCAAAATCCCTGCCACTGTCACTTTAGGCCCTAGGCTGTGTGGTACAAGGGTGAATGGTGGGACTTGGGGCAGACACACACCATGGAAACGTAGGCTCCCCCCTCGGGTGTGCTCTCTCTCTTCCCCTTCCTCTGCTTCATCCTCTCCCTCCTCTTCACTCTCCTCTTCCTCTCTCCCTCCATTCTCGCTCCACATCTCTATCCCTCCAATCATCTCTAACTTCTCTTCCTTCCTGTCTTTTGCTGCTGAGCCCTGACTCTCCACATCACTTCATTCTCTTTCACTGACCTAAAGGAACAGAGTAACAGAATGAGAGGAGAGGAGCAACAAATAGGATACAATTGTAGTCAGGAACATAATCTCTCTCACACTCTTGCTCTTTTTTCCTCTTTCTTTTTCTCAACATACACATACTCTCTTCCTAATAAGGGGTTTCCATAATAAGTTGTGTGATAGTTACACGCCTCCCGTTCCACCCACACACACACACACGCAAACTCACTCTCTCCTCCAATCAACTCTTGCTGTCTTGCCTGACAGACTAACTACGGAGTTCGCTGATTAGTTACGAAGCTGGGACAGTTTTTTATAAATGAATTGCATCGGTAGAAACAGGACAAAACAAGCAACTTGTTAGCTGGCTATGTAAACAAATATCCAACTCATCATATGAGCTCCACTGCACAGACATCTACTACCCTAACACGACAGCTAAGCTGTCAAATAATAGGAATACGAGGCAATGTATAGCCTATGAATATCTGCCCCTAGCGAACATGACAAACCATAACCTAAGCCCAACAGATAAACACAAATGACTCTAGCCTTCATTTCGGTGACTAGTTAGCTGGTTGTCTGTATGGCTAGCTAGTGAAAATGACAGCTGAGGTTGAAGCTTTGTGAGCGCAGCCCAAATTTACCGCTACACACAACTTTTCTTGCCTGACAAACTAACTAGTTAGCTAGCTATTGCAAGCAGCTTGGGCCGTTTCCATATGAAGTATATCGGTAGAAACAAGACAAAACAACCAACTAGTTAGCTGACTATATACAGCTAAACACTGCAACTATTTCCGTGAGACAGAGAGCAATCATTCAAGCTCCACCGCTGATGTGCTCGCCTGTACCAACCAAGTTATCATGACATGACAGGATTTGCTAATCTGTGAGCTATTCCCCAAATTTCACAGCATCAAACATCGACAACACTGTTTACTTATTTCACTCACCTCGACATCATCGCTTTTTGAAGTGCAAGGATCTGTGCGAATCCGTATCATCAACCAAAATAGGTAAAGCCTCTATCACAGTGAAAAGTTATCTGCTTTGGCACTGTCATTTTGAGTAATGAAGTAAAACAAAAACCGTTAAAGTCAAATAACGCATACCCTGTTTCTGGTTGATGACAACAGCCACGCGAATACGACAGCAGGTTGTTAGCAAGTACATTTTGTGATATTGACACAGATATTATTGTTAGAAAAACTAGGCCGTTCGCGACCGCTATAGTAATTTAAAGAAAGGCTGTCGACGGCCGCTTTGGGTTCTAAATTAATTGAATGTGATGGTGATTTATCTATTTGTGGGCTGATGGTCAAGATTATGGATGAAAATGTTGCGTGTTTTCAATCTTAGATAATCACGTATGGGTGATAGTCTATATATTTTTGCTGTGTTGCCTAGATTGTGGACTTGTGCTTGTTTCAGTTGTTTGTCCACCCCACTCCCCATTGGCAATTCTGCCTTTTCCCGTTCGAATGGCAACAGATGGCTTCAGCCTCCTAACAGAGACCTGTTTGTTGGTGTTGCCATCCATCTTGCTTTCCTAGACAGTGGTAATTTTCACACAACATGGGCAAAGTGAATCATGTATTTACTCCATGCCATACTGTAGCTTGATCAAGGGAACATGCACAGCATAAAATAAAGGTGAGATTAGGGGTTAGATTTATTCATTCTATCAACATAAGGCATTAATAACGCTACCATAAACTCTTATTACCCATGACATAACAGCTAAATAGTGCGCTGTTAAAGCTTTACGATATCAAGGATGAGATTGGGCATTAAAATAAGTTGATGGCTTCTTGACTTCTCTCCAATTGTAAAGAAGTCACACATTTTCTTGGCCACATGTTGGACTCCAGCAGTATTCCTTTGGCCATGTGACAAATTATAATATGCATGGCCCCTCAACCCAAATGCTGCAGTGTCAGAAGATGCTTTTAGGGTAATTATGAGTGGGTTTCAGGGAGGCAGGCACCGAGTTGAACGGAAGTGACAGAGTTGGGGGAAGAAAAGGTATAAATAATTAATGGGCTTTTAGCAGCAGCTAATGATCGCTGCCTGCTGATGTGCCAGCCTGAGCATTTACACAAACCCGCTGGCATTTTATCTGTCAGTGGCCCCAGAAATGTGTATGCCCAGTTCACTGTCGAAGGCTCACTGTGTCAAACCTACTGGACTAAAATACAATTTTTCTTGCATTCCTGAGTAATATGTATTTGGAAATTGAGTGTTTAAGCACTTTCATTTGAAAGCTAGTCAGTATTATATGAAGGTATTCTGTATTTGACAGAACTTGAGGGATACCTTAAATGTATTTCCAACAAAGATCCAGAGTTGGGTTTTATCCAGTTTTATATGCATTCATATAAAAACTAAACTCAACAAAAAAATAAAAATCCAAATAACTTCACAGATCTTCATTGTAAAGGGTTTAAACACTGTTTCCCATGCTTGTTCAATGAACCATAAACAATTAATGAACATGCACCTGTGGAACGGTCGTTAAAACACTAACAGTGGTAGGCAATTAAGGTCACAGTTATGAAAACTTAGGACACTAAAGACGCCTTTCTACTGACTCTGAAAAACACCAAAAGAAAGATGCCCAGGGTCCCTGCTCATCTGTGTGAACGTGCCTTAGGCATAAAATAAAATAAATACATTGGTCATTTAGCAGACGCTCTTATCCAGAGCGACTTACAGGAGCAATTAGAGTTAAGTGACATGCTCAAGGGCACATCGACAGATTTTTCACCTAGTCGGCTCGGGGATTAGAACCAGCGACCTTCCGGTTACTGGCACAACGCTCTTAACCGCTAAGCTACCTGCCGCCCTACCATGCCTCCTTGCAGGCATGCTGCAAGGAGGCATGAGGACTGCAGATGTGGCCAGGGCAATACATGGCAATGTCCGTACTGTGAGACGCCTAAGACAGCAATACAGGGAGACAGGACGGACAGCTGATCGTCCTCGCAGTGGCAGACCACGTGTAACAACACCTGCACAGGATCGGTACATCCGAACATCACACCTGCGGGACAGGTACAGGATGGCAACAGCAGCTGCCCGAGTTACACCAGGAACGCACAATCTCTCCATCAGTGCACAGACTGTCCGCAATAGGCTGAGAGAGGCTGGACTGAGGGCTTGTAGGCCTGTCGTAAGGCAACGTTGCCTATGGGCACAAACCCACCGTCGCTGGACCAGACAGGACTGCCAAAAAGTGCTCTTCACTGATGAGTCGCGGTTTGTCTCACCAGGGGTGATGGTCGGATTCACGTTTATCGTTGAAGGAATGAGCGTTACACCGAGGCCTGTACTCTGGAGCGGGATTGATTTGGAGGTGGAGTGTCCGTCATGGTCTGGGGCGGTGTGTCACAGCATCATTGGACTGAGCTTGTTGTCATTGCAGGCGATCTCAATGCTGTGCGTTACAGGGAAGACATCCTCCTCCCTCATGTGGTACCCTTCCTGCAGGCTCATCCTGACATGACCCTCCAGCATGACAATGCCACCAGCCTGACAGGAATGTCAGTGTTCTGCCATGGCCAGCGAAGAGCCCGGATCTCAATCCCATTGAGCACGTCTGGGACCTATTGGATCGGAGGGTGAGGGCTGGGGCCATTCCCCCCAGAAATATTGGGGAACTTGCAGGTGCCTTGGTGGAAGAGTGGGGTAACATCTCACAGCAAGAACTGGCAAATCTGGTGCAGTCCATGAGGAGGAGATGCACTGCAGTACTTAATGCAGCTGGTGGCCACACCAGATACTGACTGTTACTTTTCATTTTGACCCCCCCTTTGTTCAGGGACACATTATTACATTTATGTTAGTCACATGTCTGTGGAACCTGTTCAGTTTGTCTGTTGTTGAATCTTGTTATGCTCATACAAATATTTACACATGTTAAGAATGCTGAAAATAAATGCAGTTGAAAGTGAGAGGACGTTTCTTTTTTGCTGAGTTTATGTAAAACATCTCTGGGGAGATAAATCTAGCTAGCTCAGCCATTGGCATGGCCCTCAGATGCTAGATAGAAAGCATCTGCAATTGAACTGTATTAGGGCTGAATTTTGTAGTGACAGTGGAATCAACCAATCACATTTTACTTGTAATGGGTGGGACCGTTTTTACAAAGACTCGAAGGCCGACAGGTCACTGCGCAATAGCGAGCTGTAGTTTTCCCATGGTCTAGTTAGCTTTTGTTGAAGGCAAAAGTGTGGCGGCTGCAGCAGCAGGTGTTATCGTTTTTGCTAATTTTCAAGAGTATTTATTAAGGATCCTGGGGTCCAAACAAGATTAAGGCAATTACATCACAAAACAAATAAAAATAAATCAGTACATCATACAACACATTACACCACTACATATGTACAATACAAAATGTATAATACAACAATATTACAACATTACAATGTACGTGTGTGGAGTGCGTGTGCTTATTTGTGTGTGCCTGTTTGTGTCTCTTCACATTCCATAAGTCGTAGTTTTTTAAGTTTGATTTGACTACTTGCTTGAGTTACTTGATGTGCAATAGAGTTCCATGTAGTCATGGCTCTATGTAGTACTGTGCGTTTCCCAGAGTCTGTTCTGGACTTGGGGACTGTGAAGAGACCTCTGGTGCCATGTTTTGTGGGGTATGCATGTGTGTCTGAGCTGGGTGCTAGTCGTTTGAACAGACAGCTCTGTGCTTTCAACATGTCAATACCTCTCACAAAGACAAGTAGTGATGCGGTCAATCTCTCCTCAACTTTGAGCCAGGAGAGCTTGACATTCATGTTATTGATGTTATCTCTCTGTGTACATTTAAGGGCCAGCCGTGCTGCTCTGTTCTGGGCCAACTGTATTTTGTAATGTCCCTCTTTTTGGCACTTGACCATATGACTGGGCAGTAGTACAGGTGCGACACAACTAGGGCCTGTAGGACTTGTTTTGTTGATAGAGATGTCAAGAAAGCAGAGCAGCGCTTTATTACGGACAGACCTCTCCCCATCTTAGCTACCGTTGCATAAATATGTTTTGACCATGACAGTTTACAATCCAGGGTTACACCAAGCAGTTTGGTCTCCTCAACTTGCTCAATTTCCACATTATTAATTACAAGATTTAGTTGAGGTTTAGTAAATGATTTGTCCCAAATGCAATGTTTTTAGTTTTGGAAATATTTAGTACTAGCTTATTACTTGCCACCCATTCTAACACCGACTGCGGCTCTTTGTTAAGTGTTGCAGTGATTTGACTTGCTGTGGTAGCTAATGTTGAGTCATCAGCATACATAGACACACAGGCTTTACTTAGTGCCAGTGGCAGGTCATTAGTAAACATTAAAAGAGTAAGGGGCCTAGACAGCTACCCTGGGGTATGCCCACTCTTTTTATTTTATTTAACCAGGAAAAGCCCATTGATACCCAGAGTCTCCTTTTCAAGGGAGACCTGGCCAAGAAGGCAGCAACAATCAATACATTACAGAATTAAAACATACAACAATACAATTCAACATGATCCAGCCTAAAAAAGCATTTACACTCCTCTGTAACAGTCTTCCATCAACATTTTAAATTAATTCAGTGGCACTAACATATCTAGATGAAGCATGGGTTGTAGAATTTTCCATGCCTCTGGTGCACAAGATGAGAAGGCAGTCTTGCCTAATACTGTAAATGTCCTGGGGACTTTAAGTAGCAACCACCTAGGAGACAGGGTATGGTAACTGCTGGTGGTGAAGGAGACCAGACTACGGAGGTAAAGAGGGAGTTTACCCAAAAGGGCTCTGTAGATAAACACGTACAAATGGAGCTTTCTGCGCATATAAAGTGAGGTCCATCCCACCATTTGGTGCAATGGTGGGTGAGTGACTTGGCATTTCTAATAAAGCGCAAGGATGCATGATAAATAGAGTCCAGTCTCTGTAAGACAGAGGAGGCTGCATGCGACTACAACAAGTCACCATAATCAATTACAGAGAGAGAAGTGGCCTGAACAAGCTTCTTTCTAGCCATAAGCGGGAAGCAAGCCTTATTACGAAAAATAAAAACCCAATTTCAATTTAAGCTTCCCCACAAGATTATCCATATGAACTTTAAAGGACAACTTATCATCCAACCATATACCTAGGTACAGTGGGGGAAAAAAGTATTTAGTCAGCCACCAATTGTGCAAGTTCTCCCACTTAAAAAGATGAGAGAGGCCTGTAATTTTCATCATAGGTACACGTCAACTATGACAGACAAAATGAAGAAAAAAAAATCCAGAAAATCACATTGTAGGATTTTTAATGAATTTATTTGCAAATTATGGTGGAAAATAAGTATTTGGTCAATAACAAAAGTTTCTCAATACTTTGTTATATACCCTTTGTTGGCAATGACACAGGTCAAACGTTTTCTGTAAGTCTTCACAAGGTTTTCACACACTGTTGCTGGTATTTTGGCCCATTCCTCCATGCAGATCTCCTCTAGAGCAGTGATGTTTTGGGGCTGTCGCTGGGCAACACAGACTTTCAACTCCCTCCAAAGATTTTCTATGGGGTTGAGATCTGGAGACTGGCTAGGCCACTCCAGGACCTTGAAATGCTTCTTATGAAGCCACTCCTTCGTTGCCTGGGCGGTGTGTTTGGGATCATTGTCATGCTGAAAGACCCAGCCACGTTTCATCTTCAATGCCCTTGCTGATGGAAGTAGGTTTTCACTCAGAATCTCACGATACATGGCCCCATTCATTCTTTCCTTTACACGGATCAGTCGTCCTGGTCCCTTTGCAGAAAAACAGCCCCAAAGCATGATGTTTCCACCCCCATGCTTCACATTAGGTATGGTGTTCTTTGTCCTCCAAACACGACGAGTTGAGTTTTTACCAAAAAGTTATATTTTGGTTTCATCTGACCATATGACATTCTCCCAATCCTCTTCTGGATCATCCAAATGCACTCTAGCAAACTTCAGACGGGCCTGGACATGTACTGGCTTAAGCAGGGGGACACGTCTGGCACTGCAGGATTTGAGTCCCTGGCGGCGTAGTGTGTTACTGATGGTAGGCTTTGTTACTTTGGTCCCAGCTCTCTGCAGGTCATTCACTAGGTCTCCCCGTGTGGTTCTGGGATTTTTGCTCACCGTTCTTGTGATCATTTTGACCCCACGGGGTGAGATCTTGCGTGGAGCCCCAGATCGAGGGAGATTATCAGTGGTCTTGTATGTCTTCCATTTCCTAATAATTGCTCCCACAGTTGATTTCTTCAAACCAAGCTGCTTACCTATTGCAGATTCAGTCTTCCCAGCCTGGTGCAGGTCTACAATTTTGTTTCTGGTGTCCTTTGACAGCTCTTTGGTCTTGGCCATAGTGGAGTTTGGAGTGTGACTGTTTGAGATTGTGGACAGGTGTCTTTTATACTGATAACAAGTTCAAACAGGTGCCATTAATACAGGTAACGAGTGGAAGACAGAGGAGCCTCTTAAAGAAGAAGTTACAGGTCTGTGAGAGCCAGAATTCTTGCTTGTTTGTAGGTGACCAAATACTTATTTTCCACCATAATTTGCAAATAAATTCATTAAAAATCCTACAATGTGATTTTCTGGATTTTTTTTCCTCAATTTGTCTGCCATAGTTGACGTGTACCGATGATGAAAATTACAGGCCTCTCTCATCTTTTTAAGTGGGAGAACTTGCACAATTTGTGGCTGACTAAATACTTTTTTTCCCCACTGTATTTGTAGGATGACACTTTTTCAATGGATAAGCCACCAGATGTGACAATGCTAACCTTCTCTGGCTGAGTGTGAGCTCTGGTAAAGGTCATGAACGTTGTTTTCTTTACATTCAAGACTAGTTTGAGCCCATAAAGGGAGGCCTGCAGTGACTGAAAAGCAGTCTGGAGCTCTTCAACAGCTTGAACCAGAGAAGGAGCACATTAATATATGACTGTATCATCTGCATATAGATGCAACTTTGCTGGTTGCATCCCATTTCCCAGATCATTAATAAAATTGAGGACAACACAGTAGCTAAAATGGAACCCTGGGGCACACGTATATTAATCTCAAGAAAGCTAGACTTGTGATTGTCAGCATATACACATTGTGTTCTGTCAGAAAGATAGTTCCTAAACCAATCTACTGCCCCTTCACTGAGACCAATGTTACTGAGTCTAGCTAGCAACAATTAATGGTCAACTGAATCAAATGCCTTTTGATAAATCAACAAACAGAGCAGCACAATGGTGCTTTTTATCAAGTGCGTTGATGTCATTTGCCAGTGCCATAGCTGTGCCCCGATCTAAAGCCAGACTGAACCCCACTCAGCATGTTATTTTCAATTAAGACGTTTTTTAACTGTGAGTTCTCTAAGGATTCATAGACTTTGGCCAGGATAGGGAGTTTGGAGATAGGACGATAATTATTAGCATCTGAGGGATCTCCACCCTTTAGTAGTGGGAGGACATAAGCTGATTGGTCAAGAGACTCATGTTGAAAATGTGAGCCACAGGTTCAGTAATAATACCAGCTGCTATCTTTAAGACGTAGGGATCCTTCTTAGTGTCTATTGCCTTTAGTGCTTTATAGACCTCAGCATAAGAAACAGGCTCAAAGTTAAAATGGTTCACATGAGAGCCTATATCATAGTTTACTGTAACAGAGCTTACATTAGAGGCCTGGGCCCCAACATTATCAAAAACTGAACCAGCAGATAAGAAGTGCTTGTTAAAAAAAACTACAATATCAGCTTTATCCTTCACTTCATTAGAATCCATCATTAAATGGTCAGGAAAGCCAGAGGATACATTAGAACCGGACACTGATTTGATTAGCTTCCAGAACTTGGTAGGGTTGCTTAGGTTCTCTGTGACTGCATTTAGATACTAATCTGATTTGGACTTCATGATCAATCCTGTACATTTGTTTCTTAGCGCTCTGAAGGAGGCCCAGTCAACGGGAGCATTTGTATGTCTAGCTTGAGCCCAAGAGACATTTCTCTTTCCAATTAATTCTGTCAAGTTATCTGAAAACCAGGGATTGTCCCCTTCTAAATTTCTTCACAGGGGCATGCTTATCACAAATGGACACAAATTGCATATAAAAATAGTCCCAGGCAGTGTCAACATCGGGAATCAGACTTACTCTGTCAATATTGTGGTACAGATCATGTAAGAACGCTTACTCATCAAACTGCCTAAAATGTATTTAGAAAATATAACAGGGTTTGGTCATTTTTGTATTTCTAACACAAGCAATTGCACAGTGATCACTGACATCATTACTAGGGGTGTAACGATCCATCTACTACATCGATGTATCGATTTATATTCCTATGATCCAACTACATCGATCTGTGCTCGGCGAGTTGGCCTTTTGGACAACATATATCGATCTAACATCGTTTTAAAATGTAATAAATCGATTGTATCGATACTAGGAAATAACCCATTGGATTTAAGCACGTCAGACTTTATATGGATGTTTTTTCTTAGCACTTTTAATGATAAAGGCTTTAAACATTACTCGATTCAGTCTGCCTATCCGTGACGTCATCGCTCCAACAGCAGCGCAAAGGCGCAAAGACAACAAAACATAGCATGGCGGACGACAGAGGAGAAGCCGACGAGCGAGAAATTATCAAGCCACCATTGCGGTCCTTACAAGAAACAGGAATCTAGGAAACTTCACCTGCACTGTCCAGTATCCAGGTATGTATTTCAGTCACACTGGTTGAATTTTTGGCTAAAAGGTTACTGAATCGATTTCAAGTCACTGAATCGTTTCGGATCGTATCGTTCTAAATGAACCAATATCGTCCTTGAATCGTATCGACAACCACGAATCGTGATACAAATCGAATCGTTGTTAAAACGAATCGTTACACCCCTAATCATTACAGAATATCCCAGTCGATGTGCATTTGTGAGGGGTATTCGTTAGAAGAATGTTCAACAGCGTTGTGGGATTCGATCTTGTAGGCGCATGAATTAATTGCACGAGATTCAGAGTCACACAGTTCTTTAAAAGAGTCTGATACAGATGTAAGCATGTCCCAGTTCAAATCGCCTAAAATAATGAATTCAGAGTCATTTAGCTTGTGCCGGACATCAGAGAGAGAGTTTAGTGCATCTCCAGAAGCCGAGGGCGGTCTGTAGCAGCTGACTACAGTGATCTGGGAGTCCTTATATACGTTCACTTTAACCGCAAGCAATTCAAAATGTTTGGCTTTGGTAATCAGAGAATTTCAGAGATGTTAAACTTGGATTTCACATAAATTGCAACCCCTCCTCCTTTACTCATCTGCTCAGTTTTAAAAACTGTGTACCCATCAATAGAAATCAAGTTATTTGACACAGATTTCATTAGCCAAGTTTCTGATAAAACCATTATGTCCTCATTTGTCATATTGGCCCATATTCTAATCAAGTCTATTTTTGGAAATAGACTTCTAATATTAACATGCAAGAGGCCAAAACCTGTTCTGTTTTTTAAATCATAGGGAGTCTGTAGAGATTGCATGGTATCTGCCGGCCCAGGGTTTGGAGATCAACAATAAAAGCATAACAATACATCTCAGTTGCCCAATGCGTGAGGACTTGGCGGAGCCAGCACCATTGTCAATGAAACAAGCTGAGTCTTTTGACACAGGAAGAAAAGTAATTCAAGAGTTTGTGATTTTGGAAGTATGCTATCAAGTGTAGGTCCACTTGCGTTTGAGAGTGGTACAAATGCAGTTGCAGAGAGTCCAAGTTCCTGGTGGTATTAACATGATGGTCTCGTCAGAGTGTTTACAAATTGTAGGGCGTAAGGCAAAGATAATTCACTCACCCATTGATCATTCAGCCTATTTAATCCAGGATGGCATTGAGTAAAGAGAAAGCACAGTAAGCGATACATAATGCTGGTTTTTAGAGTCCTTTCAGCACAGGTGACGACCAGTAGACGTTGTGTACAATGACGTAGATTTTCTCACGGCCCACGGTACATCAGGTTTTCCAATCTGGAAACCGCTTCTCCACTCCTAGCCTTCAGTGCGCACCTGCAATCGAGTAGCAGGCCTTGCGCGCAGACAGACTCCTGACTCGGCGTGCTCCAACTCCAAAAAGGTGTAGGCTACAGTTTACGAGCAGCCCGAGGCAGAAAAAAAAGGCTTTCTCTAAAAATAATAGTTGTTATATACAGCATCCACCTACACATCAAAAGTGTTTGCTTCTGTAGACAGGATCCGGGTCATTAAAACAACTCAGATCTCAATGATCAGACATACAAACGGACACACTGATTGGCAGCCATTAAAGAACACCATCTGTGTTCTCTTAGACAGGTAACTCTTGATCCACAATATGGCAGAGGATGTAAGCCATAACACATTTTTTTCAGCAGTGGAAAAAACAATGTTTTTGATAATGTCAAAAGCTGTACTGAAGTCTAAAAACAGCTCCCACAATCTTCTTATTATCAATTTCTTTCAGCCAATCATCAGTCTTTTGTGTAAGTGCCATACATGTTGAGTGCCCTTCCCTATAAGCGTGCTGAAAGTCAGTTGTTAATTTGTTTACTGTGAAATAGCATTGTATCTCGTCAAACACAATTTTGTTCAAAAGTTTGGTAGCAGGATGATTGGTCGGCTGTTTGAACCAGTAAAGTGTGCTTTACTATTCTTGGGTAGCGGAATTAATTTAGCTTCCCTCCAGGCCAGAGGGGGCACACTTTCCTGTAGGTTTAGATTGAAGCGATGGCAAATAGGAGTGGTTACTTTCAACAAGAAGTTAAGTTTCAAATGATCATCATCCGGTGAGTGGAACTGTTTTTATTTATTTATTGCAGCTATGCTCTTTGAAAATGATGCATTATGCATGTGAAACATTGTTACATCTAAACTTTAGATCACCGGTTACTTTGTGTGCTGAAAGTGATCAAGATGTTTGCAATGGGAAGTAATAGTTGTACATTTCGATTTGGAAATGCTTAGCCTAATGGTTGTGTTTTTGTATTCTTATGATTGGGACCTACTGGCTTATTATGTCCTAGTGAATGGGCTACTTATTCTTTAACATCATGCTGTGTGTGACTGCTGCCTTTTTATCAGCACTTGTGTTTTACAAAAAGTGCGCTCTCCTACATGGAGTGCACTAGTATTACGGCCGCTGTCCTTTCAGGCATCACGAGCGTGTCACACTCATATCCTTTGATGTGTCACTGTTGTCGCTTTTGATGATAGCAAGGTTTCTTTCCGGATCAAAAGGGGGCTTAGGTGGTGGGCGTGGCAGGGGGCGTGGCCAGTGGCGGCTCCTGAAAAAAAAAAAAAAATTCTCAGGGGGGGCAATTTTTCTGATGATTTAGGTGACCTACACACATTTTAAAAAAGATATGTCCAGCAACAACATGAAGACAGGGGCAGCATATAAGTCAATACTGATATACACATTACTTGCTTCAAAAAGGCCTCATGGTTGAATTGGAAATATGTGCACCTGAGCATAATTCACAACAAGCAAGCAGGAGCTTTTGATAGAGGCTACTGAAAACATTGATGCAAGTTATTGGTAATAAGAATTTTTATAGACTTCCATATTCTGCCCTCTTGTATAGATTTGTGAAAATGAACAGTGATAGACATTTTGCCTGAAAACAGAATTTGAAAATAATTTATAGAAAAGGTAAACACAGCTATCTGTATGGCTTTGTAAAAATGAACAACCATATTCTGGCCAATTGTATAGATTTGTAAATATGAACAACCATATTCTGGCCAATTGTATAGATTTGTAAAAATGAACATGAACAGATTTTTTTTTTTTTACTTAAAAAAAAATGAAAAATAACTATTTTAAACAACATCAACTGTGAACTGATTTGGGCGTGTGTGTGTTAAAGAGACAGACAGGGAGGGACAAAGAGAGAGAGAGGCTACATTACTTGTACTGAAACTGTTCTAGCTTGCTGCATGATCAAATTCAGCTGATGCGCATAGCAATGCACGTAATGGGCATTCTTGAAATGCTCACGCACCTTTTGCTGCACACCAGCCTTCTCTCCCCTCATCACACTGGCTCCATCGTAAGCTTGCGCAATGAGTTTGACTTTCTCGTCGTCTGCAAAAAGACCGTTCAGTCTCTCCAAAAGCACACTGGCGATTGAGACTGAGGTTGATTCCGAGATGGGAAGGAACTCAAAAAAGCGCTCCTGCACTTTGTGGTTGCTATCTATGTACCTCAGCACAAGCACCAGCTGTGTCTGTGTAGAAACGTCCGTGGTCTCGTCAGCTTGGATAGCTACGAAGTTCGCCGACTTCACCTCCTCCACAATATGTTCCCTTATGACCGCTAGCATACACTCCAGTAGCTCGTTTTGAATGGTCTTTGATGTGCCCTTGAAAACTTTAGCATTTTTAAGATGGTCATCAAACACCTCATCTAATTGTGCCACAAAGTTGACAAGTCCAAGAAAAATACCAGGGTTGGTGGAGCCCTCAGTTTCATCTTTGCCTCGCAAAGCTAGCCATCTTGACAGTAGTACGTGAATTGATTGACGCTGCTACCCGCTCTTTTCTTAGTTATGTTCATGGTTACTTATGTTACGTATGACGAAAGCACGTAAGTGCAAGCCCTCCCGGAACCCATAGAGATTGTATTGAAAGCTCTGATATTTGAAAAAAAAAAGATTTTACATGAGAGTCTATGAGAGACTCCTGGGCGATTTTCAACCTGACTGAAATCGCCCCAAAAGGGGCGGGGCCATTTGAAGCACGACTTTAGCCTGATTGGACATTTAGTGGCAGATCAGACGTCTAGATTAGAACACTGATAACTACTGTTGCCGTGATATAATTTATTAGAAAAAAAATCCCTTCCTTTTCCCGTTTGGCAGTGCGTCGCCCATATCGCCCTAATGAACACACCGCCCCTGGGCGTGGCAATGGCCACGGTCGGCCCGTCTGCTCGGCTGGATTGTGGAGAAAATATTAGAGGCCCACATCTTGGCGGTGTTGAAATGTTTGAATTGTTAAAGGGATACTTTGAGATTTTGGCAATGAGGCCTTTATCTACTTCCACAGAGACCGATGTAAATGACGTGTAAATAAGAATTTGTTCTTAACTTACTTGCCTAGTTAAATAAAGGTATAAAAAAATTAAAAATATTACGCTAACACTAGTTAGCATTGGCTACCTTCATACTGGACACAAAATCCCGAAGTACCCCTTTATGCCAATTTTCTGCAATTCTACACATTTCTCCATGGAGCTGAGAGATTGCTTCAGTTTTAATCACATTTCCTGCAGTTCTGCACATTTTTCCATGGAACTGAGAGAAAATGTTGCCGTTTTTAAAGCTAATTTAAATCCCGAAAATGTATTCAAGGCATCCCAAAAAAATGAGTAGGTGAACCGTCCCAGTATTGCTATGGATGAAAAATCCCTGGATAGTGTTAGGTTACCATAGGTTGTGTAAGCAGTGCTGCTGTTGGTACCATTATCCATGCAGGTGCTGTCTCTGTGGGAGTGGCAGCCCAAAGTGCAGGTCAGGCCTGTTTGATTCAGTTGGGTGCATTAAGTGATACGTTTCTGTTATTTATGTTGATTTGTTAGTTCGGTACAACGTTTTGGGAGATCCCCCACTGAAGGCCTAGGTCTAATAGTCACAGTTTGCCACTGGATGCACTTAAAATGTGTCCAGTGTGCCATTGGCTCTTCATTTGGCACATAACAATGTATATCTCAGCAGATCGGAGGTTGTAGTGAAATCCGTTTCAATTCCAATCAAACCAGCAAATAAACCAGATCATCAAAGAATCTGTGTCTTAAACCATTTAATCTGTGTTTTAGATTGAAAGTCTTGTTTTTTTTGCTTCAAAAGAGTGATCAGGGGCATGCAACTAGTTTTCCTTCGCACAAAATACATTATTGCAACACATTCTACAGAAAATAGCATCATTTTCATCGGATGACAACAAAGTGCAATGCTATTTGGCTAGCAGCCACACATAGCTAGCTAATTTACATTTGCTTACAATGAAAAAGCAAGGTCTTTTTTGCAAAAACTATGCATGGCCATCATATGTCTCTGTGTCCAGAATGTAAGGAAGTTGGAGGCAGTTTCGCAAGCCAATGCTAATTAGCGTAAGTGCGATGACTGGAAGTCTATTGGTATCTGCTAGCATGCAGCAGATACCCAGAGACTTCCAGTCATTGCGCTAACGCTTGTTAGCAATTGCGCTAGCGCTAGTTAGCAACTTCCTTCAAACTGCACACGGAGCCATAAAAATGGTATCCACAAGTTCATCTGACTCTGGGGAAGTAGATACAGGGCCTCATTGCCAAAATCCCGAAGTATCCCTTTAAGATTAGGATTGGGGGAAGGGAAGCTGATCGTAGATCTGTACCTAGGGGAAACTTCACTCTCGAGCTTAACTGCTATTCCAGACTGTGCTTTGTCTCCCCTCCAGAGTTCATGCGTAGCCCCTGTGTGGAGGCGGGCCTCATCCCCCCCCTTGTGCAGCTGCTCCACTCCAAGGACCAGGAGGTGCTGCTGCAGACAGGCCGTGCCCTGGGCAACATCTGCTACGACAGCCGTAAGTACACCCTGTCATAGGTTTCCCTTACATGTTTCTCACCGGGTGGAAAAGCACCCGGGATCGGTGTCAATGGGTTCCACCATCAGCATTTTCAATGTGATTTCTTTTATTTATTTTTTAACATGTGAAGGGGAGGTCACTTTATCAGGAGGGGGGCCCATCTTGCCTAGGTGTAATTGTAGGGGAGGTATTGAAGTTCCTTTGCCTCTCAACTGTCCCCCCTCTGCTCTCCCTGAGGAGGTGCCTTACATCATGGGGGAAACTGGTGTCAGCGGAATCCAAGCCGGCTATTAGCAATATCTGCTCTTTTGTATGGCATTGATCTGCTGAAAAAGCGGTTTAGTCTTAGGTCATCATAATGGGATATAGCCTAGCCTGTTTCACAAGTGGGAAATACTCTGGCCATAATTTGGAATACTCTGGCCATAAAGGGCCAAAAGTATCTGAGATGACTATGATATTCCATGGTTCTACCCGAAAGTCAATGTAAAATCCATAATTTTTCATCTGTTGAGTAGCAAAGGCTTGGCTAAGCAGCTCTAATATAACACTATTTAGGAACTCTGTCTGTTTTAAGAGGCGCCAGGATGACAGCCCATCCCCTGTTAGTCTGGGGAACCAGTCAGCCCTGAGTACCTGCTGAGAGCAGCACTTCTTTCCCCAGATGGACACCCTCACCTTCAACGTCTGTCACACAAAGATAAAACTGCTTACAATGCCTCTAGAACGGGGTGTCAAACATACGGATCCGGCCCGCGAGGTGGTTCAATCTGGCCCACCGGTGGTTTGAGTAAAAAAAAATGTGTGGGGTGCGGGAAGTGTAGAAATGATAATGAACCTACATTCATACAGTTTCTTGACTGTGTCCAGCTCGTTAATAATCACCGAAATGAAAGCTAGACAGTCAGGGAGCATCGAATATTCCAAAAACTATGTATAGAGGACAATTTTTTTCCCATCTTGATGGCGAGGAAATATAACATATTTTCAGTTCGACCTTCCAGACCTCGTTGAAGACCAAATGAGGCCCCCGCGTCAAAATTAGCTTGACACCCCTGCTCTAGAATAAAGATTTAGGGGACGTAATCAAGAGTTGTCGTGAATACATTTAGGGGAAAATGTTATCGGTGGTTAGTTCCGTCTGTGTGTTCCGTTGAGGCCTTAATGGCAGCTATTGTTTCTGGTGCATTGTTTCTGCCGTCACTTAAAGGTGAGACGTCTATGGTTTGATAGGATCAGAAAGAGTATATGAGTGTGGGGGCAGCTGGTTAAGCCTTTTTAGCATGGTGGCAGAAACGTATGTTTCAGTCGGCGCTGCAGCTGTTTCCAACTCTTAATGGGGGCACCACTGAAGAAATGTACATTTACATTTTAGTCAGTTTAGAAGGAGTCTGTTGTTGTTTGGTACTGGCCTTTCAAAATGTAATTACCACAAGACAAACTGACCGCTTCAACTGCCAATCGTCGTGCATTCAAACAACTTCCAGACCTAGCAGCAGAAAAACAATGCCAGCATTTTGTCCATCAATGGCAACCAGATTCCAGCCAGTTTGTTTAGTCCTTTCTCTGCTCTGTTTCTACTACAACTCTCTCTCTCCCCCTCCCTCCCCATCTCTCTTTTGCTCTCTCACCTCTTTTCTCTTCTTGACTCATCATCTAACACTTCTTCTGCAAGCTCCAGACATTCTTATTCGGTCTGCCACCGTCATGCACACACAACACTGTATAATGTGTCAATATGTTCCTGTGTTAAAACAACTAATGCAGGCAATATACTGACAAGGCCCATGCTGTAACACTTCCTCTGCTAGCTACGCTCCAGACATCCCCATTTCATCTGCCATCATCAAGCACACACTTTATAATGTGTCGATATGTTCCAGTGTCAGCTAACTTTTTTTTAACCTTACTTTGTGTGCTGAAAGTGATCAAGATGTTTGCAATGGGAAGTAATAGTTGTACATTTCGATTTGGAAATGCTTAGCCTAATGGTTGTGTTTTTGTATTCTTATGATTGGGACCTACTGGCTTATTATGTCAGTGTGAACGGGCTGCTTATTCTTTAACATCATGCTGTGTGTGAGGACATCTTCCCCACCTCCAGAGTTCTAGCTAGGTGACTTTCATTCCTTCCTGGTCTGTTGTCTCTAGTCAAATGAGATTCAACCATACAGATGAGTATATCTGTGTGCTTTACATTAGTCCCTGTTTAGTTCGGTGCTGCCATGAGAGCACATGGCCTCCGTACATCTATGGTCTATCTTGCTACATTATCTCTTGGCACACCAAGCACTCCTGGTCTACAGTTCATGTGATGTCTGCAGTCAAAGGTGATGTCCTTAAAGTTGAACCCCTAACCTCAGGAGCACCAACTAATTCCCATTTTAGTTGACCCAACTAACATTGTTGACAACATTTTTAACACTTTGGTGAGGTTCATTTTATGTTCTATAAATATGACATAGGCTAATTTGTATGCAAAATCATGTAAAAAATAATATACTGAACCAAAATATAAACGCAACATGTAAAGTGTTGGTCCCATGTTTCATGAGCTGAAATAAAGCCCTTTTGTGGGGAAAAACTCATTCTGATTGGCTGGGCCTGGCTGCCAAGTGGGTAGGCCTATGCCCACCTATGGCTGCACCCCTGCCCAGTCATGTGAAATCCATAGATTAGGGCCTAATGAATTCATTTCATGACTGATTTCCTTATATGAACTGTAACTCAGTAAAATCTTTGAAATTGTTGCATGTTGCGTTTAATATTTTTGTTTAGCATATATTTGTATGGCTGTAGTCGATTGCTATGTTGAGCAGAGCAGTGTCCTACAAAGGTACTGTGGTCTGTAGTAATATGGTGCTAATTAAGGCCAATCAATGAGGCGTCTGCTAAAAACGAATTCATAAAAACAGACTGGAGTCACTGAGTGTGACAGAACTTCAACTCCCATGTCTCTAGGCTGTCTGGTCTTCAGTTCCCAAGATGGGGCCTTTTTTCTATTGCACAAAGTGAACAGACTTATTCTCTCTTCAGTCTAGCTGGGATTCAGTCACTCCACCACCATACGTTTGCTGTTCACAGTCATGCTCATATGCATAACCTGACTCAATTACTTCTGTAGTACGGTTGTCGGTTGTCGCTTCCACTCATAACCACACTGTATATGAATTTGACCATGATTCTGATTCTGAAATCAGAAAATTAGCATTTATTTTTAACTAATTGGCTTCATCAGCACTGTCATTAAATTTGTCTCCACTTCAGTCTGACAGCCACTTAAGCACACCAATACATTTGAGGTTTGGGGTGGGAATGACTAAAACAAACTGCAAAACTCACAATATTGAATTTCATGTCTCCGAGCATTGTGCAACAGGTATGAGCTTGGGTTATGTGTGATTTGAATTTCTAGCTAGCTGCCTCAAGTCATTTTTAGTTTTGCCTCTCCTTTTTCACATTATGATTTATTATAATTATTATTTATGGCCATATTTATATAGCATTTGTTATTTACTTAAGTTTTTTTTGTTTTTGTTTTTACTGCTTGCTTAACTTTCTCTCCCTTTTTTATAGATTTTTTTTCCAGGTTGGTTGTTGTGATTGTGTGATTTTTCTTCTTTTTTGATTTCCCCCTGACCTCTTTGTTTTGCAGATGAGGGCAGGAGTGCAGTTGACCTGGCGGGAGGGGCTCAGATAGTAGCTGGACACATAAAGTCACTGTCCCAAAATACTGACCCGGACAATGGGAAGCTCTTGACTGTCTTTTGTGGCATGCTGATGAACTATAGCAATGATAATGGTAATGACCAACTCGCCCCGGATAAACTACATTAACCAAACTAAACAGAATAAACGTTTTTAAGAATGAATCTACTTTGGCAGTGTCGGTGACTGTTCTAGACGTTATGTTGACACCTTTTATCCAGTCTTAAAGTGATAGTTCACTTTAATATGAACGTTTGTGTGATATTTTCTGACATTTATGTAGTCTATTGTCGAGATGAGTCCATGTCCCAGGCCATCTGTTGGGTTGATTCAGCTATATGCCTCAAATCCAAATCAATAGGAAACATGGGCACCGTCTAATTTCAAACTATTAAACTGTGCCTGTATTTTCATATAGCTGGATCTTGTCAGTAGATGGCGTGGGGGCATGGATTCATATCGACATTAGACTGCTTTTGAGGTCTGAAAATGTCTGACGAATTGGAGTGTCATTCAAAGTCAGTTCTTAAAGGCCCATTCAAAAATGAGATTTTGCTGTGTTTTAAATACATTTCCACATATGAGGTTGGAATAGTACTGTGAAATTGTGAAAATTATGCTTATGCCCTTTCAGTGTAACAGTTGTTTTGGTGGGTTGGCGTTTTGGCCTGCCTGGTGACATTACCAGGCGGTAAATGAGTTAATAGGTCATTATCAATAAAACGTCACAATATGGTGCAGAGCGTTCGATTTGGTCGCTTGCAACGTAAACATCATCAGATGACAGTACATCGGCAAATGCGCCCTTCCGCTGTTTGACTGACAGATAGCCCACAAAGGATGGGGAAATTAACCTTAACCACTCATGCTTGTCAGGTATAGTTTTATTGACACAGTTGTCAATGGTTTTAGTGGAGCTAGGGGTCTCCTTGCCCACCAGCAGGCAAATTGAACCATTCTGCACCTTGTTGTGAAGTATTATCGATAACGACCTATAGACCAATAAAGAGTTCCAAACCCCTCTACTAATAACAGCTAGTTTTCAGTTTTCCCCTCCCCACTCAGACCACTCCAAGTCCTAGCAAAATTCTTGCTTGAGAAATTTCTAATTGTTAAGAAGCTATTTTTGTTTTTGACCATTTCATTGAAAACAATCACAGTAAGGTACTTAATTGTCACCCAGAAATGATTTGATATTGAGATAAAAACAGCTGCATTGGACCTTTAAGTCATTGTCACTCTAGCCTATATGTTAGCCAGTGTTCAAGTTTATCTTACTTAGCCTTTACTCACTGGTGACAGGAGGTGGTTGTGCAAGAGCATGCTACAATATGTGTCCCTTGGAGAGTGGTCTGTCTAATTGATTCTATTGCTTTCTGTTGTGTCCTGCTTTAGCCCTTAATAATTTTCCTCTTAAAGCAGTGACTGCTGTTCTTGTCCTTGTCTTGTAGTTGGTGGTAGGTAGGTAGTTGGTGGTGTCCTTCCTTAGCTTATGCTGTAGCCATTTCTCTCCCCCCCTTACACATCACTCTCTGGTTTGTAATTAGATTGTCTATTCTCCCACAACCCTCCTTGCAGAGCCTCTATAGTCTATCCAGGTGCGTGGTCCAGAGTAATCAATAATGTTCACTTCTGCTGTCAACCTTCAAACACCTTTTCTAGTTTAATTAGACTTCTTCCCAAATGGCACCCTACATAGTGTACTTCTTTTCACCAGAGAATAGGGTGCCATTTGGGATGCATACATAGACTCACTATAACATAGGCATCTTTCGTTCACATGAACACATTGTTTAGTACCCTTTAACTGTGGTAGCTAAGTAACTAGTCTTGTCATAATGATGCAACATTTGATTTAGCAAGTTACTGTACATGTACAACCCTAACACCTTTTAAAGGTAGTGCAAAATCTAACTGCCCTGGAACCCCCCAGGCTCTTCAAATTGGACAATAGAAAGTTGAGTTGTAGTCTTGGTTGGACTGTTGGTTCACCAGGAGTGTATTCACTAGGAAGCAAATGGGCAGAAACAGGGAGAGATCTCTCTGAATTTGTCCAATAAGAAACTTGTTTTCATTGCAAAATGTTTTGCTAAGGTTTGCATTAATGAATCTACCCCAGGCTGGTTAGTGGTGTAGAGAGAGGGATGCTCACGAGTGTTATCACTCCTGAGGTTCCACGACGTACTGCTGCTCTCTGAATAATGTAAATAATGAATGAACGGCCCAAGTTCTATAACTTTTTTTCTCCTCCGTCAGCAAGATGCGGAACAGTAATTACTTTTCGATCTATCGCCTCTCCCGTATGATCCCAACCAGTCCAAGGTCACTCACCGTCGAAAATAGACAGAGGAAAAATAAATGTGATCGAAAACGTGGCGTTCAGGGGAGGCACATGCACAGCCTGCGACAGCTCTAAATGTACCCCTCGGACGCTCTCATTTTTCTCCCTCCCTCACTCCTTTGCCTTGTTCTTTCCCACAATTAAACATGGAGCTAAGTGGATTTTCTCAATAACCCAATGATCTGCAATCCGATCATCAGACATTAAACAGTGCTGTGATTACACAGTAGAAATATAATTATTAGAACGGACTACTCATTCAAGTCAATGTTCCGTGATGGGTGGAATTCTATTTGTATGTTGATTTACACTGTCCTCTGCTTAGAGTGGTGCTACTTCCGGTGCCACCAACATTTAGCCCCAGCCGCCAAGCACCACTATCAGGGCACTAAATGAAACCACTTCACGGGGCTCAGCAAAGCCTCAAGTCAAATATCTCACACAGACATGTTTTGACTCAATTATAGTCAATTATGGTTTGTTATCGACTAATCTGTTTAGCTTTGAATAAGGCCGTTCTTCGCCGCTACATGGAAAGGATGCTTGCGAAAACAGGACGGAAACACTTTAGTTCATGTAACCTCTACACCAGGGTTAGGCAAACTACAGCCTTGCTGGAGGGGGGAAATTATTGTTTTGGGTAAAAAAACACTCCGGTCCAAACATGAACATCTTGAATGTTCTGTTTGAAATATGTAAATTATAATCAAACACACTTGAACATCTTAAACTAGATAGAAAGTATGTAGAAATGATAATTGACCTTTCAAATAACTGCCCTTTTTCTGGCCCGCAAATTGATTTTGACAAACAAATCGGTAAAACAAAAATAGTACTGATCGGCTAGTTGAAAATAATGCATACAATTACCACATGCTCTACACGTCCTTGGGACTGTAAAGAGAGGAGCGAGACCATAGTCTCATCCTCTATACCCTGGGCTACGGAATCTAACACGTCAGAGTAATGGAGTTGATCCACTATGCGCATCGCGGGCCGGAGCATTTTGCAATTACACCATGCAAATGAGTTTCTGTGGCCGCCAGCGGCCCGCTCCCTTCAGCTGGCTGTTTGTAAACTGTCACCGCAGCTAATATAACCTTCACTAATATTGATAGAAGGTCCGCACATCCAATGGTTTTTACAGCGGCTGTGCGAATTGACAATTATTTCTACAAGGCCTTGTTTGACATTCCCTAACAAATAGATTTTTGTTATTTTGTTTTGGGTTATGATAACTTTATGACCCAAGTTGGTTTATGTTTTTGGATTTCACTCGCCTCCAGTAGGTCTGTGCTTGTGGATTATGGTTAGGGTCTAATGTTTTCAAATAATAACAAACTTGGTGGATGAGAATTGGTGGTGGTTCTTTTAATAATTACCAGCAACAAATCTCAGCTTGTATTTCAGTGAGAACCCTCATTAATTCACCAATGTAACTTTCTCAATTGCTTACTTCCTTCCTCCTTTCTCCCTCCCTCACTCGCTTCCCCTCCCCTTCCTCCTTCTACCCTTTTATCTAATCTCTTCCTCAGTCTCTTCCTCAGTCCACATGATCTCTTTTTGTCTTTAAAATGTGCTTATTCGTTTGTTTTCTCCCCCCCCCCGTACCCTCCTTCCTCTCTCTCCATCCATCCTGCCTTTGTCATCTGTTTGTCAGTGTCGGTCATCTCTTAAAATCAACTTAATAAACTCTTTCTCCTATCTGTCCACTATAGGCACCTCTAGCTGGTTTTCCAGAGCTCACTACATCCAGGGAAATACATCTGCTCACTGACATACTGTATATGACTTGGACCTTACCCAAAATATATAGCTAGTATACATTATGCAAATAGAAAATAACTGTGCAGATTTCTTTCCTTGTCTGCAGCAACCCATTTCCCTTTTTAGAAATTGCCTTTGCCTTTTGATATGTGTCTTTTACAATCCTCTTGAGACTTGAATTGAAGACATTGGATTTATTTCTTTATACCTTGCTTTTGGCTTGTTCCACTTTTAAACACACACACACAGCCTCTAGATGGCTGTGCTCATACCTTCCCTCTGTTATTCCCCGTGTCCTCTCCAGACTCCTTGCAGGCCCAGCTGATCAACATGGGAGTGATCCCCACCTTGGTGACGCTGCTGGGACTCCACTCCGACAACACAGCCCTCACAGAGATGTGCCTCATCGCCTTCGGAAACCTTGCCGAGCTCGGTGAGTATTCCTACCATAGATGTAGAATTCTAATTCTATGAGTACATGCATCAGAACACTCTTGATCTGCCATTCTGGTCGCGGTTCAGCTTTTCTACAATACTGTCTGGGATTTTGAGCATTAACCTACCTTCGATTAGTAATCTAAGATACCATACCATACCGGCATAGATAACAATAGTACCATAGATTTTTATCTTGATATATGATTCAAAACTGTCAACCCTAGTAGGAAGTTGAACGGTGACTTGCTTCTTCTGTCATTCACATTTTTTTGTCATATATAAACCAGGGACAGAACTGATTCCAGTGTCTGTCTTCTCTAGCCTAGTGCCAACTCTTCGGTCATTATGATGATGAATAAACACGGAGAAGATTCCGTTGAATCACAAACAGACTGGACCAGTCACGTCATCTAGGTATTTTTTTCTCCCCTCTCTGCAGAGTCCAGTAAGGAACAGTTTGCCTCAACGAATATCGCCGAGGAGCTGGTGCGTTTGTTCCAGAGGCAGGCGGAACACGAGAAGAAGGAGATGATCTTTGAGGTGCTGGCTCCACTCGCTGAGAACGGTAATTCAACTCTATTTATCCCTACACAGGCGATTTAAGATGGGCAAGTCAGGTTACAATGATCAACATATAATACAGTATGCAGAATTTTTTTTCCAATCCACATACTGTTGTCAGGGGAATGTGATGTCATTCTGTGTAAGTACAGTGAGGTCTGAAATGATTGACACCCTTGATAAAGATGAGCAATAATAACTCTATAAAATAAATGATTAAAATACTGAGCTATATTGTATGCAACATTGTTTGGGGGAAATTATATGATTTTATACTAAAACAATTGCTCAGAAGAAGAGATTTCGTTTAACAAGTCATATTTTACCTAACATGGTAGACAAAATCTTTCTCACAATTGACACCCCTAAAGATTCTTATAAATAAAGTAGTCAGACGTTTAGTATTTGGTCCCATATTCCTAGCATGCAGTGATTACATCAAGCTTGTGACTCATGCGTTTGCAGTTCGTTTTGGTTGTTTCAGATTATTTTGTGACCAATTGAAATGAATGTTAAATTATGTATTGTCATTTTGGAGCCAATTTGATTGTAAATAAGAATAGAATATGTTTCTAAACACTTCTACATGCATGTGGATGCTACCATGATTGTGGATAATCCTGAATGAATCGTGAATAATGATGAGTGAGAAAGTGATGAGTGTTATTGGTAATCGTGAGAGGTTAGCATGTCTTGGGGATACAGTTTCTTGCAAAAGTATTCATCCCCCTTGGCATTTTTCTTATTTTGTTTCATTACAACCTGTAATTTAAATGGATTTTTATTTGGATTTCATGTAATGGACATACACAAAATAGTCCAAATTGGTGAAGTGAAATGAAAAAAATAACTAGTTTAAGAAAATTCTAAAAAATAAATAACGGAAAAGTGGTGCGTGCATATGTATTCACCCCCTTTGCTATGAAGCCCCTAAATAAGATATGGTGCAACCAATTACCTTCAGAAGTCAAATAATTAGTTAAATTGCACACAGGTGGACTTTATTTAAGTGTCACATGATCTGTCACATGATCTCAGTATATATACACCTGTTCTGAAAGGCCCCACTGTCTGCAACACCACTAAGCAAGGGGCACCATTAAGACCAAGGAACTCTCCAAACAGGTCAGGGACAAAGTTGTGGAGAAGTACAGATCAGGGTTGGGTTATAAAAAAATATCTGAAACGTTGAACATCCCACAGAGCACCATTAAATCCATAATTAAAAAATGGAAAGAATATGGCACCACAACAAACCTGCCAAGAGAGGGCCGCCCACAAAAACTCACGGACCAGGCAAGGAGGGCATTAATCAGAGAGGCAACAAAGAGACCAAAGATAACCCTGAAGGAGCTGCAAAGCTCCACAGCGGAGATCGGAGTATCTGTCCATAGGACCACTTTAAGCCGTACACTCCACAGAGCTGAGCTTTACGGAAGAGTGGCCCGAAAAAAAACCATTGCTTAAAGAAAAAAATAAGCAAACACAAAAACCATGTGGGAGACTCCCCATACATATGGAAGAAGGTACACTGGTCAGATGAGACTAAAATTGAGCTTTTTGGCCATCAAGGAAAACGCTATGTCTGGTGCAAACCCAACACCTCTCATCACCCCGAGAACACCATCCCCACAGTGAAGCATGGTGGTGGCAGCATCATGCTGTGGGGATGTTTTTCATCGGCAGGGACTGGGAAACTGGTCAGAATTGAAGGAATGATGGATGGCTAGGCCTCTTGTAGCTCAGTTGGTAGAGCATGGCTCTTGCAAAGCCAGGGTTGTGGATTCGATTCCCACGGGGGTCCAGTATGAAAAATGTATGCACTCATTAACTGTAAGTCGCTCTGGATAAGAGCGTCTGCTAAATGTAAAATATATAAATATATATGGCGCTAAATACAGGGAAATTCTTGAGGGAAACCTGTTTCAGTCTTCCAGAGATTTGAGACTGGGACGGAGTTTCACCTTCCAGCAGGACAATGACCCTAAGCATACTGCTAAAGCAACACTCGAGTGGTTTAAGGGGAAACATTTATGTCTTGGAATGGCCTAGTCAAAGCCCAGACCTCAATCCAATCTGAGAATCTGTGGTATGACTTAAAGATTGCTGTACACCAGTGGAACCCATCCAACTTGAAGGAGCTGGAGCAGTTTTGCCTTGAAGAATGGGCAAATATCCCAGTGGCTGGATGTGCCAAGCTTATAGAGACATACCCCAAGAGACTTGCAGCTGTAATTGCTGCAAAAGGTGGCTCTACAAAGTGTTGACTTTGGGGGGGAAAATAGTTAAGCATGCTCAAGTTTTTTCTGTTTTTTTGTCTTATTTCTTGTTTGTTTTTTCACCCCAAAAAATATTTTGCATTTTCAAAGTGGTAGGCATGTTGTGTAAATCAAATGATACAAACCCCCCAAAAAGGCAACAAAATAGGAAAAATGCCAAGGGGGTGAATACCACTGTATGATCTTTGACCCTCTAACTTTCTCACTCACCATTATTCACAATTCATTCAGGATTATCTGTAATCATGGTAGCATCCACATGAATGTAGATGTGTTTTTTCCGGTATTGAAAATCATACCGTCTGTATTTCAAAATACCCTGGTATACCGCCCAAGCCTAGTTACGGTACAGGAATGTAGTACTGAATTGTTGGAGAATTAGCATTGCTATTGATTGCATCCCTATGGCCATTTACATTAGCCATGCTTACACGCCAAATAAGCATACAGAAACAGGTGTGTGGGTGGGTTACAAATGATCCAGTTCAGATTTCTTAACTCCCCTTTGTCAAAAATGAATAATTAATTAGTTGAACTCAGTTTGGCGAAGAAACTGCCTTTGTTAATGTCACACTGCTCATTGGAACAGCTAAATAAATATAACCACCACTGCTATATTAGGGTCAGTGCCTAAAACCAAGTAAAAACATAAGTAAAAACATAACCTGGCTTTAATGCATAAGCGGAGTGATTTTAGTGACGTATATGAGGATAATTTAAAGGGAGAATGTCAATACCAGTTGAGTGCATATTTTCCTCTGAATTCTCACTCAAGGGAATCGGGACTATATTATGTGGAGTCATCTGTGGCCTTGGTAACTGCTCAATGGAGTGAAGCGGCTCGCGCAGCCTTAGCTGTCTGAAAAAAGGAAAATGTGTATGCTGTTTTTAGCTAAATAAAAAGAACATGCTTGGAATAGTGTGTGTGTGTGTGGGGGGAGAAAGATAGTGTGATACAGTGTGTGTATGTGTGTTAGAGAGTGTGTGTGCGCGTTTGTGTATTTGTGCGTGGTGTGTGTGTAGGAGATGGTGTGAGAGAGCGCGGGTATGTGTGTTTGTGTGTGTGTGAGAGAGACTCACCGACTGTTGTTATCATTCTGGGCAGCACAGTGGGTTCTCCCATTCTGCCAGTCTCCTAGACAACATCCTACTTAACTCTACTCCAGAGAACATTTCTCTCTCTCTCTCTCTCTCTCTCTCTCTCTCTCTCTCTCTCCTCTCTCTCTCTCTCTCTCTCTCTGTCTGTCTGTCTCACAATACAATCCCAGACTCAAGCATCTTTTAATCTCTTTCTCCCTTCATACAAATCCTATTTTATTTGTTACATGTGCCAAATACAACTGGTGTAGACTTTACCGTCAAATGCTTGCTTACGAGCCTTTCTTTACAATGGAGAGTTTAAAAATAAAATAGTAACACGAGGAATAAAATAAAATGCACAAGAATGGAGCTACATAGTACCAGTACCAGATCAATGTGCAGGGGTACGAGGTATTTGAGGTAAATACAGTATGTACATGAAGGCAGGGTAAAGTGACTAGGCATCAGGATATAATAATAATGTATTTGAGGTAGATGTGTACATGAAAGCAGGGTAAAGTGACTAGGCATCAGGATATATAATAATAATAATTGTCCATTTGGAAGACCCATTTGCGACCAAGCTTTAACTTCCTGACTGATGTCTTGAGATGTTGCTTCAATATATCCACATAATTTTTCTTCCTCATGATTCCATCTATTTTGTAAAGTGCACCAGTCCCTCCTGCAGCAAAGCACCCCCACAGCATGATGCTGCCACCCCCGTTCTTCACGGTTGGGATGGTTTTCTTCGGCTTGCAAGCTGCCCCCCTTTTTCCTCCAAACATAATAGGCCTGTACATCAATCACCTTTTTATCTAGGTTTGAATCATATATACTCACACATCATCATTATCTAAGACGTATTTATGTTACAGTTGATGTGTACTACTGCCACTCATGACTCACATACACCTTTGAAAAACAAAACTAAGACAAACATGGTGTTTCACAAAGATTACCCCAGTGCAGAGTAGACTATAGACCTGCACCTATGTCTGGACCCTTTGACACTCAAATAGGGGAGGTGGAATTGGGTCCGAAAAAAGTAATAATCACAAAGTAAACATCACAAGCAAGGTAGGCATCCGAAAACATAAAAGACTGTCGGCCCACTGGGATTTTGTGTCTGAGAATTTCGGATGAAGCCAATGCTTTTTCAATGGGAGTCATCTGTTGCCAGATGAATGACAACTGATGAAGATTGGCCAACAAGAAATGCACAAAGCTTCTGAAATAGTTGATTTTAGTTATACTTTTGCCGGACAAAAACGGACAATGAAGTACGTCATATATGAGTGGTGTGTGTATAAACAAACCTAAAGGAACAAACCTGGCGTGTGTCTGTGGGAGAAATACTGTGTGTGTGTGTGTGTGTCACAAGTTGTTAGTAGCATAGAGATCTGATAAACTGCTAACTTGACATCTTTTCACAGCATGCATGACCAGGCGGTGCTCGTTCTCACCATAGGATTAACTATGTCATTGGTAATTCTGTGTAACTGTCTCCCTCTCTCTCTCCCCCCCCCTCTTTTCTGTCTCTTAGATGTGATCAAGCTGCAGTTGGTGGAGGCGGGCCTGGTGGAGTGTCTGTTGGATGTGGTAGCTCAAACAGTGGACGGTGTGCGGGAGGAGGATGTGGCGCAGCTCAAAACAGCCTCCGACCTCATGGTGCTGCTGCTGCTGGGAGGTACCACACACACACACACACACACACACACACACACACACACACACACACACACACACACACACACACACACACACACAAAGTCGGAAGTTTACATACACTTAGGATGGAGTCATTAAAACAATTTTTTCAGCCACTCCACAAATTTCTTGTTAACAAACTATAGTTTTGGCAAGTCTGTTAGGACATCTACTTTGTGCATGACACAAGTAATTTTTCCAACAATGGTTTACAGACAGATTACCTCAGGGGAAAAAAAATAAAAGTAGACCTCCACATGTCTGGTTCATCCTTGGGAGCAATTTCCAAACGCCTGAAGGTACCACGTTCATCTGTACAAACAATTGTACGCAAGTATAAACACCATGGGACCACGCAGCCGTCATACCGCTCAGAAAAGAGACGCGTTCTGTCTCCTAGAGATGAACGTACTTTGGTGCGAAAAGTGCAAATCAATCCCAGAACAACAGCAATGGACCTTGTGAAGATGCTGGAGGAAACAGGTACAAAAGTATCTATATCCACAGTAAAACGAGTCCTATATCGACATAACCTGAAGGGCCGCTCAGCAAAGAAGAAGCCACTGCTCCAAAACCGCCATAAAAAAGCCAGACGACAGTTTGCCACTGCACATGGGGACAAAGATTGTACTTTTTGCAGAAATGGCCTCTGGTCTGAGGAAACAAAAATAGAACTGTTTGGCCATCATGACCATCGTTATGTTTGGAGGAAAAAGGGGGTCACTTGCAAGCCGAAGAACACCATCCCAACCGTGAAGCATGGGGGTGGCAGCATTATGCTGTAGGTGTGCTTTGCTGCAGCAGGGACTGGTGCACTTCACAAAATAGATGGCATCATGAGGAAGGAAAATTATGTGGATATATTGAAGCAACATCTCAAGACATCAGTTAGGAAGTTAAAGCTTGGTTGCAAATGGCTCTTCCAAATGGACAATGACCCCAAGCATACTTCCAAAGTTGTGGCAAACTGGCTTAAGGACAACAAAGTCAAGGAATTGGAGTGGCCATCACAAATCCCTGACCTCAATCCTATAGAAAATGTGTGGGCAGAACTGTAAAAGCATGTGTGAGCAAGGAGGCCTACAAACCTGACTCAGTTACACCAGCTCTGTCAGGAGGAATGGGCCAAAATTCACCCAACTTAATGTTTGAAGCTTGTGGAAGGCTACCCGAAACGTTTGACCCAAGTTAAACAATTTAAAGGCAATGCTACCAAATACTAATTGAGTGTATGTAAACTTCTGACCCACTGGGAATGTGATGAAAGAAATAAAAGCTGAAATAAATCATTCTCTCTACTACTATTCTGACATTTCACATTCTTAAAATAAAGTGGTGAATCTAACTGACCTAAGACAGGGAATTTTTACTAGGATTAAATGTCAGGAATTGTGTAAAAACTGAGTTTAAATGTATTTGGCTAAGGTGTATGTAAACTTCCGACTTCAACTATACATATGAGATGAGTAATGCAAGATATGTAAACATTATTAAAGTGACTAGTGTTCCATTTCTTAAAGTGGCCAGTGATTTCAATAGGCAGCAGCAGCCTCTAATGTGCTAGTGATGGCTATTTTAAGAGTCTTGAGATAGAAGATGCTTTTCATTCTCTCGCTCCCAGCTTTGATGCGCTGACCTCACCTTCTGGATTATAGCGGGGTGAACAGGCAGTGGCTCGGGTGGTTGATGTCCTTGATTATCTTTTTGGCATTCCTGTGACATCGAGTGCTGTAGGTGTCCTGGAGGGCGGGTAGTTTGCCCCCGATAATGCGTTCGGCAGACCGCACCACCCTCTGGAGAGCCCTGCGGTTGCGGGTGGTGCAGTTGCCGTACCAGGCGGTGATACAGCCCGACAGGATGCTCTCAATTGCGCATCTGTAAATGTTTGTGAGGGTTTTATGTGCCAAGCCAAATTTCTTCAGCCTCCTGAGGTTGAAGATGCTCTGTTGCGCCTTCTTCACCACACTGTCTGCGTGGGTGGACCATTTCAGTTGGTCAGTGATGTGAATGCCAAGGAACTTGAAGCTTTCCACCTTCTCCACTGCGGTCCCGTCGATGTGGATAGGGGGGTGCACCCTCTGCTGTTTCCTGAAGTCCACGATCATCTCCTTTGTTTTGTTGACCTTGAGTGAGAGGTTATTTTCCTGGCACCACACTCCCGGAGCCCTCACCACCTCCCTGTAGGCTGTCTCGTCATTGTTGGTAATCAAGCCTACTACTGTTGTGTCGTCAGCAAACTTGATGATTGAGTTGGAGGTGTGCTTGGCCACGCAGTCATGGGTGAACAGGGAGTACAGGAGGGGGCTGAGCACGCACCCTTGTGGGGCCCCAGTGTTGAGGATTAGCGAAGTGGAGATGTTGTTTCCTACCTTCACCACCTGGGGGTGGCCCATCAGGAAGTCCAGGACCCAGTTGCACAGGGCGGGGTTCAGGTCCAGGGCCTCGAGCTTAATGATGAGCTTGGAGGGTACTATGGTGTTGAATGCTGAGCTATAGTCAATAAACAGCATTCTTACATAGGTATTCCTCTTGTCCAGATGGGATAGGTCAATGTGCAGTGTGATGGCGATTGCATCGTCTGTGGATCTATTGGGGCGGTAAGCAAATTGAAGTGGGTCTAGGGTGACAGGTAAGTCTCTCAAAGCACTTCATGATGACAGAGGCCACGGAGGAGACGTCGGCCACGGAGAAGGAGAGCCCACAGTCCTTGGTAGTGGGCCGCGTCGGTGGCACTGTGTTATCCTCAAAGCGGGCGAAGGTGTTTAGCTTGTCCGGAAGCGAGACATCGGTGTAGGCGACGTGGCTGGTTTTCCTTTTGTAGTCCGTGATTGTCTGTAGACCTTGCCACATCCGTCTAGTGTCTGAGCCGTTGAATTGCGACTCCACTTTGTCTCTATTCTGATGTTTTGCCAGTTTAATTGCCTTGCGGAGTGAGTAGCTACACTGTTTGTATTCTGCCATATTCCCAGTCACCTTGCCATGGTTAAATGCGGTGGTTCGCGCTTTCAGTTTTGTGCGAATGCTGCCATCTATCCACGGTTTCTGGTTAGGGTAGGTTACGGACAATTCCTTCGTTTTTGCTCTGACATGCACTGTCAACTGTGGGACCTTATATAGACAGGTGTGTGTCTTTTCAAACCATGTCCAATCAATTGAATTTACCACAGGTGGACTCCAATCAAGTTGTAGAAACATCTCAAGGATTATCATTGGAAACAGGATGCACCTGAGCTCCATTTTCGAGTCTCATAGCAAAGGGTCTGAATACTTATATTTCTAAAATCCTGTTTTCGCTTTGTCATTATGGGGTATTGAGTGAGGAAAAACAATTATTTAATCAATTTTAAAATAAGGCGGTAACGTAACAAAATGTGGAAAAAGGGAAGGGGTCTGAATTCTTTCCGAATGCACTGTATTCGTCCGGTCAATGTGGGGACAACCTCGTCAATGCACTTATTAATGAAACCGGTGACTGATGTGGTAAACTCCTCAATGCCATTGGATGAATCCCGGAACATATTCCAGTTTGTGCGATCGAAAAAGTCCTGTATCTTAGCATCCGCTTCATCTGACCACTTCCGTATTGAGCTCATCACTGGTACTTACTGTTTGAGTTTTTGCTTGTAAGCGGGAATCAGGAGGATATTGCCAAATGGAGGGCGAGATAGAGCTTTGTATTAATCTTTGTGTGTGGAGTAAAGGTGATCTAGAGTTTTTTTATTTTTTCCTTTTTCTCTAGTTGCAAAGGTGACATTATGGTAGAAATGAGTTAAAACGGATTTCAACTTTCCTGCATTATAATCACCGGCCACTAGGAGCGCCACCTTTTGGATGAGCATCTTCTTGTTTGCAAATGGCTCTATACAGCTTGTTGAGTGCGGTCTTAGTGCCAGCATCGGTTTGTGGTGGTAAATAGACAGCTACGAAAATAAATAGTATCGTCTACAGCTTATCATGACGTATTCTAACTCAGGCGAGCAGAACCTCGAGACTTTCTTAAAATTAGAGATCGTGCACTAGCTGTTTTTAACAAAGAGAGACACACCACCCCCCTGATCTTACCGGATGCAGCCGCTCTGTCCTGCCAATGCAATAAAATGCTACCATCACATCTCAACTGCAACATAAATATGTCTTTGATAATGATGATTCAGTGTATATGATTCAAACCTAGATTCAAAACTCAGATCTATGTACTGACCCTTTGTGCTGTGGTCGCGTTGACTGGGTTTCAAGCATGTGCATGGAAACCGTACCCTTCAGGCCAAATGATAAACGGGGAGAAAGTGATAGTGAATAAGAATTGAGTAGGAAGAAAAAACAATATATGAAGGAGAATAAGATAGGTGTGTGATGATGAAATCTTCAGCCTTACTTAGAGCGGAGTGGTGGAGAATACATTGTGAATCCATTTGTGAATATATTATGACAACCGAATGTGAGGGAGAATGTGGGTATAGTTCTAGGTGTCTTGGAGGCCTCGATTTCATCATATGGTTTCCGTAGCGTTCTCCTAGACTACTTATTCTTTCTTTTTCTTTCCACTTCCATTTATACTGAAGCCAAGGAGGACATTTATCCTGTAACCTTTTCTGCCCAAAACGTGCATGCTTATTTGTGTCTGTGTGTTCGTGCACGCGTGTGCCTGTGTGTGGTCTTTTTATGCTTTTTTGTTTAGTGAATAACTGCTTTGTCGTTTTATTGATGACCTCTCTCTTCTGCTGCAGTAGGAGGGTTTATGTTGACAGCCTTTCCCAACCTCTTTCTCCTCAGATGAGTCCATGCAGAAGCTGTTTGAGGGGGGCAAGGGCAGTGTGTTCCAGAGGGTCCTGTCCTGGGTGCCATCCCACAACCACCAGCTGCAGCTGGCAGGGGCACTGGCCATCGCCAACTTTGCTCGCAACGGTGAGGAGGCCATAGAAATACACTTAATAGAAGGGACAAAGCCTTTTAGACCATTCTAGTTCTATGAAGGAAGGTACTGTGGTAACAGATTGAACCAAAAAGGGTTTTATTCAGGATAAAACTCCCCTTGGATGGCTTTGATACTGACCATAATCTGTGTCACCGTTACATGGGGTGTGACTTCACGGAACGTTCCGATACTGTAGAAATGTATAGAACAGAATGTGTAGAATAGACCCTTTTCTGTGTAGTAGAATAGGGAATCAGCACAACAACACTCAGATTGTAGAAATGCTTCTCTGTCATGTAGAACAGTGAATCAGCATTCGGCATATCTCTCCACTTTCTCCCAGATGTCTTCTAGATCAGTTCTCCCCCTAATAAAAACCTGCTGCCTCAGTGTGCTGAGTACAGATCACAGGCCTGGCCATTAGTCATTCCATGTCATTACTCATCTACAACACAGTGTTTCTTCCTGTGTCAGCGAATCCTGCATCCACTCTGACTTCAAACACTCAACCCTGATAAATAAAGGTCGTTATTATTATAGCCTCCTTAATTATTTATTCCGTACATGGATGTGAAGAGAATAGTATGCATGTAACCTGTTTTCTATCAAACGATGATTGTAAAATTACGGTCAGAAGGATTTGCATTGGAACATTCTCCTCCTAACACCTATCCAGTCCTTTTTAGATCTGGGGATAGGGGTTGTTCAGTACTTTGATTTGTGGAATCGGATATGTTAGAGCAGGGCGGGAGCAAAAGCCTGCACAGCCCATAGCTTTTAATGAGCAGTGGGTTAAGTTATGACATTCTATTTCTCCCCCAGATGGTAACTGCATCCACATGGTGGAATCCGGCATCGTTCAGAAGCTGCTGGATCTGCTGGATCGCCATGTGGAGGAGGGCAACGTCACCGTGCAGCATGCCGCGCTCAGCGCCCTGCGCAACCTGGCCATACCTGGTGAGACTCCCAAGGCATTCCATGCATGATTGAGTATACTGTCAATGTCCTATATGACTCATAGGCAATTCTTTAACATTCATTTCCTGTCACAAGTGCTTCCCCTGCACTCGTTTGTTATCTGTGGGTGGGGATAGGTCTTGGCAAATGTAACGGCAAACAAGTACAGGAGCAGCACTTTGAATAGAAATTGTTCTTTCTTTGAGCCTTAATGGGTTAATACTGGTTGAATAGAATAGTTACAAAGTTAGTATATCGTGTATTTTCATGGTGTACAGCATTGGTAGCTAAGAGCTGAATTGCAGTGTACAGTCCATACCTAAATAAGTTAACAAATCCGTTGATACATGTCTTAAGGGAGCATAGTTTGAATGTATTGATTTATGTGTTGTTTTATTTAACATGTTTAATCTTTATTTATTATTTTTCTCCTGTCTGTCTCCAGTGGTGAACAAAGCTAAGATGCTGTCGGCAGGTGTGTCAGATACGGTGTTGAAGTTCCTCCCGTCAGAGATGCCTCCTGTCCAGTTCAAACTGCTGGGCACGTTACGCATGCTCATCGACACTCAAGGTAGAACTCCTTTAAAACACCTTTTATAGCACGTATAACGCACTGTAGAACACCTTCCTAATAATGCCCTAAACCATCGGTCTGTGCCTCGCGCTCAGTCTTCAACTTCGACCAGTATCAGTGACAGGTGTGAGTGTTTCCACCCATAAACTCTGCAGAAAGATATATATATATATATAGCAACATTTTCCAAAATAGATGCTAGAATGCCTTCCTAATGATGCGCTAACCTTGAACCGTTCTGTACCTCACTTTTTATCCTTAAATTGACCAGTATATCTTTTTTTATTCTGCAGAAAGTTGGATAGGAAAGTACTCCCACAAAAGAGCCTAGGAATATGATATGTTTCTGTCAAATGTTGTTGAATATTCATCAAAAGGGGTTGGGTTGGGGAGGACCGGGCAAGGCCAAGTGCAGACCAGTTAAATCCAAAGTGACATGGTTATCGATGGCATCCATATTTGATTTAATTGCTATGCAACTGAGTATGTCAGTGAAATCCAGACAGTTGACAGGGTGTTAGAATAGCAGTCAACTCAAGGTGATAGAACTGACACATGCACTTTTTCTAACCATGTCTTTACAAGAGGTGTTTTCCTACCTCTTTCTCCCTGGAGTTCAGGGATTCATTATAACAAATTCTAGAAAGTGCCAATTGTTACCAAGAAGTGACCCATTTTTATTTTATTTTCATAGTTACTTAGTAGAGGACTAATTAGGAACCAAGTCATTGTAGTTTATAAACAGAAAGCTACCAATGGTAATAGAGCTGTGAAATAAAGCGTTACCTGTTCTTCCACCCAGCGGATGCGGCAGACCAGCTGGGGACCAATGGGAAGCTGGTGGAGCGTCTGGTAGAGTGGTGTGAGGCCAAGGACCACGCAGGGGTCATGGGAGAGTCCAACAGGCTGCTCTCAGCCCTTATCCGCCACAGCAAGTCAAAGGTTAGGGCCGGCTGCCGTGGAAAAACACCATATGTGGCTGGCAAGCTGGCTGCCACCACAGAATACATCCTGACCCATATCTGAACTGTACATACACACATACACACACACTGAATATATACGTTATCAGCTATATTTTAATCAAAGGCTGTATTAGCTAGCTTGTCTTTACTAATCTAACTCTCAGCTCAAAGTCCAATCCATGCTTTATGTAACATTTTTCATAAAGGGAACTGAACAACTGAGGTGGGAGCCATGTTCTAACTCTTCCTGAAATACGGTGTTCCTTGTTGACTCATGCCCAGAGACAGCATTGTCATCCTCTGAGGAGAATAACTCGGGTGCACCTCAGACTCTGGTTGTCTCCTTCTAGACTGTAGATTTATGAGCTCCAGGCTCTAAACGTTTCTGTCCTAATTGCAGATCGCTAGATAAAATAGAACCCCTGTGGCAGTACCAGAGATGTAGGTCCTACAAATGCACTGTACAGAAGCGTCCTATATTATTTAGAGCAGAGGTGAACTGGCCTTAGTGGCCTACCCTCTTGGAAAGTTACTGGGTGTGCAGGTTTTTGCTCCTATCGTGCTCTAACACCTGATTTCAGCTCCTGATGAGCAGTGGATTAAAGGCAGGTGTGTCAGTGCATGGCTGTAGCACAACCCTTCACACCCAGAATCTACTTCCAGGATGAGGGTTGGTGTCCCCTGATTTAGAGTTGTGCCCCCCATTTGAAATGTATTTGTTTCTTTAATTTGTTTATTTGTTTGTGTTTTTAGGACGTCGTAAAAACAGTCATCCAGGGTGCAGGCGTGAAGCACTTAGTACTCATGGCGACGAGTGAACACATGATCATGCAGAACGAGGCGCTGGTGGCTCTGGGCCTCATCGCCGGGTTGGACCTGGGTAAGAGTCAGGGGTCACCGTCAGTGTCATGATGTCACAGTGCAGCCGAATTCTAACTACTGTGTTAGCCACATGGTATTGTAAGGGCCAGATTGGTAGCACTTTCTTTGACAGTGCCTGGGTTGTGTTTAGTAGGGCACACTGTACTAAAATGTTTTGAAACAAGAAAATAAAACTGTTTCCGGACAAGTTCAGGTAGCACTTCCCTGTCTTATTCCGTTGCAAAATATTTTCTATCCCCATGCTTACTGAACATGACCTGATGTATTGCATGGCTAGAATAAACTGAAAGTTGCTTGATGATGTACAGGGCGGGTTAGAATAACCACACAATGCAAAGCTATTTGGGACCTAGTGAAAGGTGCTGTATAAATAAAATTAACTGTTGAAGCTTTTGTTACGGTGTGCTCAATACACGCCCTTTTCTAAGAGGCAAAGCATTGACTCTGATGGTGCATTGGAATGCATTAAAACAATTGTACAAAATAATTGGTCACAGAGTGTGTTTGTCATGGTTTCAGTGGGGGCTGAGAAGGACTTTGTTGGGGCTGGCCTGGTACAGGTGCTCCACAAGCTTCTGTCAGACGAGATGAGTGCGCCGGAGGTCAAATACAACTCCATGATCATCATCTGTGCGGTCATGGGCTCAGGTAAAAGGGCGGCCATTTTGAATCAGCCACTTAGAAAAACTAAAACACAGCTTTTGCGCCAATATCCAAACTAGGGCATAGCACAGAGTAGTATACTTGTATGGACATTGGAATGTAGCGGTAATGAATGTTATGGTTTAGATGTGTGCTTCCATTAAAGACTCTTCTGAATGGGATATGTTCTTCTCTCTCCCTCCTCCAGAGCCTCTCCATAAAGAAGTACAGGGCCTGGCCTTCATCGACGTGGTCTCCAAGCTGCGGTCGCACGAGAACAAAACGGTGTCCCACCAGGCGTCGCTCACAGAGCAGAGGCTAACGGCACAGAGCTAAAGGACTCTAACTCCCACAATCCCCCACTCCCACATCCCCCCCCAACCCCCAATGCCTGCCTCATAGCCAATCCCTGCCCCCCATTCCTCTCTACAGAACCTCCCTCCCTCTGTGTGTGTCCCATCGTCACGTGCCAAGGTATCCTGTCTCTGTCCCCCTGCCAGCTAACTACCCCCCCCCCCCCCCCCTCGCTCCATTCAGCTCCATCCATATTAAAAACAAGGCGCCAGTAGACAGCCTTTTCTTTTCGCAATAGATAAACATACAAAGAGAGAACACTTTTTATGATGACCATAGCTGTGATACCCATTCACTTCAATAACTTGCCGAAAATGTAAAAAAAACAGAACATACAAAATAAAAACAAAAAAAGTTTGATTTAGGTGGTTTGAAAAAAAAATTAGCAGCCACGCATCCATGCTGTGTCCTTACTTCCGTGTCCCATGTTAGCTTGAGTACCAGCCGAGTTGAAGACAACGTGCATGTTTTAGTCCAGTTGATGGTGTATCTGTGTTCATTTTGACCCTGTCACGTATCCAAAGCCACAGCCCTGGGCAAATCTTACAGAGAATAGTGTTTAATCATGTTTGTACTTAAACTGGCGTTTTGAAAGGAGTTTGCTTGATAATCCCACCCAATCCTCTCTCTTCCCTTTAACTTTCATACAAACCCAACTAAACCTGACTTATTTTTCCAAACAAACTTACTGTTATATCAGGGGAATGTTTAGAATTGTGAATCGTTACAGAACGTTCAGATATAAATATATTATGTAGAACAGATGTGTCAAGTAGAATAGGGTATGGTGTTGACTCTTACATTTTTATCTGCGATGTTGTGAATGTTTCACCCCTAACTGAACATACCCCAGGCTAGAGCGCCACTAGCACATACAAGTGCCCACCCGAGCGTCCTCGGACATGGAGGAAATCACGCGTAGGTTAGAAGTTAGAACCCCCAGATGAATACAGTCGCTCACTCCCTGGTCTCTGTGAGAGTGTACAGTGAAGCAGTCAGCCATACCAGGTATGTACTATATGCGTGTCTGAATTTATTGCTTTAATCATGAGTCGGGGACCAATGGGGGCGTTGCTATCGCCTTCTTTTGTAGTAGCGCTGCACTTTTCAGAAGATTCCTATATCATATTAATGTGGTTCCTAAGTTATTTAACACGTCTCCAGGCATTGTGAGATCTGATAATCTATGTAGCCTGACTGCAAAAGAGATGACCTGGAATGTCACCATAGGCAGCAATCTGTCTGTGTTGTTTCACATAGTCACTATGGTCCCCCCCACCCCCCTCCCAATAACCCTGTCAGAATGGGCCAGTCTGGACACCCAGAGAAGATCCCTCACCCCGTCTACATGTCTATGGTTTCTCCCTGCCCGCTCTTGGTTTGCATGTGTGACGGTTTCTCTCCCACTCAGAGTATCGAGAACATGCACATTCCAGCATGTTGGATACTGCGTTAGGCACCGTCTGGTGACATAGGCATTTTTTTATTATAAATTATTTGTTTATTATCGGCACTTTGTTCTTTGTCAGGTATGAATGGTAATTTATCAGATTTGTAACCTTACAAAGACACAATCCAATCAAGATGTAACCACAAAGTAACTGCATTACGATATTATAAACATAAATGTTTGTTGTAAATGTCATTGAGTTGTACATTTGGAAGATTGTAACTTGAACAAATAATTAAAGATGATTGCTGGCGATAATGTATTATTTGTTGTTCCTAGAGTTTGTACTGCCTGTTGATATATTAAGAAGAGGGTGAAGTCTGTTTCGTATTATTCATAAGCAGCTCTACTCATGTTTCATTCATTGTGTGTCAAACAGGGTTTTCTGAGCACATTGGCAAGGGCTATGGTGTCACCTAGGCTGCATTCCATTCCAAAAGGTTGTCCCCTCCCATCTATCCTTGTTCACTCTTGTTCATGGATCTGTGACAACTAGGTAGGGGTAAGCAGGAGCCCCATCTAGAATGGAATCTAGCCTCACATGCCAGGCTTTAAGGCCCTTTGATAGTCCTGGCATACATTGGTAGTTTTGACAGTGGTGATGGAATGTCCATTGATCAGATTAACACCTATGTCACCGTTTCTAATTAGAAATCGTTCCTTCAGACTCGGGCCATCCAACTGAGGTTCAAAGCACTACTGATAAATCAATTAATGCGTAATGGAGTCCGGCAGAGAAAGACGACGCCAAATCACTTTGTCATGTCCATTCTTTATTACAATTAGCGCAATTAACAATGTCAGCAGGTCAACAAATAACAATGATTTATTTCATGGGAATGAAAGAAAAACAGAAACTTGTTCTGAGGGCAGAAAGGGAGTCAAACGAAGGACCCACTGAATGGCAACCCTCGTGTTATGCCCTCTGCCACCTAGGACACCACCCGCCAGCCTGACTTTTTGGTCTTTCAACTCTAACAAGATCGAGTGACAGGGATTCCTAAAGATTATGACACTATTCACTTAGAGGTATTGAAAACAGAAGACCACCATAGCAAGAAATGGACATGAACTGAAAAATGTGGATAAAACTTAAATGAATGTATTGACCATTAACAACTTATGTAGAGTGTGCAGAGATCAGACAAAATACATTGATACTTAAATGCCCAGTGCAGTCAAAAACCGGATTTTCCTGTGTTTTATGTATATTTCCACACTGAGGTTGGAATAATACTGTGAAAATGATAATGCCCTTTTAGTGTAAGAGCTGTTTGAAAGGACCGCCTGAAACGTCAGCCTGTTTTGGTGGGATGGAGTTTTAGCCTTCCATGTTGATATCACCATGCGGTAAATTAGTTAATAGACCAATAAGAAAGAGTTCCAAACCTCTACCAATAACAGCAAATGTTCAGTTTTCCTCCTCCCCACTCAGACCACTCCCAGTTCTACCAAGATTCTTGAGAAATTGCTCTTTGCTAAAAATATTTTTTATTTTTTTATTTTAACTGAAACAATCACAGTAAGATACTTTGTTGTTACCCAAAAATGATTTGATATTGAGATAAACGGCTGCATTGGACCTTTAAGTGTGCTTGATTTAGCTTGCCTGTTACAATGGAACCAATTGACTAGTCCCAAAAGTGCACACAAAAATCAAGCACACCTGAAGTATTTGAAAGTATCTGACATACCTGTATGTATTTCGCCAGGTGGTAGGGATGCCATGAAATATAACGAATGCTCATTTGTGCAACAAAAACGCTTGAACCGACAACGCTTCAGCAGTTCAAAGCAAACGTGACTTAAAGGCTGTGACTACTACTGAACATTTGCATTCTAGCGCCATTACTCTCTTCCCTAAGCTCACAGTGTCAGCACAAATACAGCTACTATTTTACTGTTAAAAATACCTGTGTCAATAAGAAAACATTTGCACATTCTAATGAAACGAAACCAGATTCCATGCCATTGTGACAGTAGGGTGACAACCTCCCGGATTGTGTGGGACACTCACACATTTTGTCCCTTTGTTCTGCGTCCCGCAATGAAACAATCATGTCTCGCATTTAATCAACGAATTCAAGCACCACTAATAATAATGTAAAACATGTTTTTGTCCCTTATTTTAGTCCAGACATTCCAACCTGTCTCTTGCAGTCACATTGCGCTTATGAAAGGTGGGGTGGGGGTGGGGGGCTGCCAAATGTTTTTATTCATGTAGGCTACACTGTCCCGCAAAATCCTCCTGTTGTCTCGCATTTGGGTATTTTAAATGTGGTCACACTATGTGACAGGCATGCAGTGCATTTACAAACACCCCCCATTTGGCATTATTTTCTGTACATTTCTACACAAAGTGTTTGACACATGGATGGAATCCCATGGAACAATGGGGATGCAAAACACTGGTAACTTTCCCAAAATTCCCAGGTTTTCCAGAAATCTGCCAACTGGTATTTCTAGAAAACCTGGGAATTTTGGGAAAGTTACTGGAATTTTGCAACCCTAAACACATCTTTAAAAAGGATCAGAATGTGCAGGTCACCATGGTGCAGGTGATCTCAGGAATCTTTCCCAGTGGTAGCAGGCTTCAAGCATATTCTGATGCTCCAAGAATGGCGTAGCCATGCTGAAGAGATCTTGGGAATAACAGACATCAAGGTCAGTCACAGCTCTTAAAACAAACTAATCCTAGTCCCATGTCAAAGTTTTACTGGGGTGAACTTTGAGAAATGTCAACAACACAGTTGTATTTGTGACATAAGTGCACTATAAAGCTTAGCTAGCTAACATTACGCTCAGCTAGGTAACTTGGTAGTGAACCTTACCTGTGCATTCCTGGGTGAAGACAGGCTGTGACATCAGGTAAACAAACTACACAGCAAGAGAAAGAAAAAAGCTAAAGAATGTTATTTCTATTACACAAGAGCAAAGCCAGGGGGTGTATTCAAAATGCTTAACGTTTTTAAATGTTTTTCAGTCCCACTATAATCATTAGTGTTCACAATACTCTGGAACCAAATGTTAAATTCAAGTCTATTTGCGTTTTGGAGTGTTTGGTAAACATGTAATGCATCCTGAAAACACCCCTGGTGGATAGGCTGTGGTGGGAATGGTCAGGGGCACAGAGTGATGGCACAGTGTGGCAGAGTTTGGGGACAGTGACAGAGTGGAGGAGGGAGGTGGAGGAGACCTTTCTCAATAGTCTGAAAGCGTTTCCATTCTTCATGACAACAGGATGTGGAGAGAACTGACGTGTGGAGGAAAATGTCCAGTCATTCTATAGGTAGACATTTTGGCTATTAGTTGGCTTAGTCTTTGGAAAAAGGGCGATGTGTCTTTGGAAATTTACAGAACCCACTACACCCCTGGCAGACAGTGTATACAGGGCAGGCTAGTTAAACCTCCATTTAAGTCTGTCATTTCGGCCTGTGTTCACCCACGGACGTTTTAGCTTAAAGAGTCTGGAGCATTAAACTGTATTTCAGCAAAGCATTGGATTTTTGTTATATATTAGATCATATTCCTCAATCAAATCATTGGTTCGAATTGCAGGGTCTGGGCTGTACTATTTCATTGACTACTACTGATTCACAGAGGACAACAACAACACCCACCGGCTACAGTTCATACATACACACGCTAGCGAGCATGTTCCTCACGCGTAGTACGCAGACCCTTTCTTTCCAGAGTGAGGTGGGGGTCGGCGCATGGAGAGAGAGGGCGGGGGCACCCTGACGAAGCATGGGGGAGGAAGAATGAAGCATGAGGTGAGTTGGCATGACGATGGTGTGCCCCACACTCACTCATGCCACCAGTGTGGAACAGCTAGTTCCCCCTCGCCCTGCCAGGTACGGGGGTGGGCATGAGTGAGTGTGGGGTGCTGTGCTCCTGTCTCCAAGCTGAGTGGCCAGCTGGTGTGGCAGGTAGCCTAGCGGATAAGAGCGTTGGGCCAGTAACCAAAATATTGCTGGTTTGAATCCCTGAGCTGACTAGGTGAAAAATCTGTCGATGTGCCCTTGAGCCAGCCACTTAACCCTAATTGCTCCTGTAAGTCGCTCTGGATAAGAGTGTCTGCTAAATTACTAAAATGTAAAAATGAGATGGGCAGAGCCCAGAACCTCTGTGAAATGACTCTGTCAAACTAGGAGGTGAAGTTAGTAACCAGAGCAAAGCCAAAGAAACTACAATTAAAAGTTTTAATCTGGACAGCATACTCTGGATCGATGTGTATCCAACTACATCAGAAAAACAAAGAATCTCATAAAATGCTAATTTAGTGGTTACAAACATCAATACTGTAACTTTTTTTCTTAATATGGCCCAAGATCTTCTGACTCTATTCTATGCCAAATGAGGGTGGCACTTTAAAAAAAATGCTATCTGGTTTTGAAATGTGATTCCAAATTCCATCGTCAAAGGATTTCTATGTCGCAGTACTGCAACTTTAGTCCACATGGTGGCCCACTTTCAAAATAAAACAATTTTAGAACTTTGAATTCTCTGATTTTCAATGCTGCTAATGTCTATGCTAAGGAGTATCAAAATCAATAATGAACCCAGTTAATAATGAAAGATGTAGAGAAATACATACGCTGTTATAGAATTAAATGGAGAGACGTTAATTTGTAGTACTTGATATTTTCTCACCAGCTTGCTCTCACAGCTTCGATGTCACTCACTAAGTTTTGTGCCAAACATATTCCAAATATCTGTGAAAGAAAGAAAATAAATTATGACTGATATCTGTTTTCATTACCATTTAACCAGTCCGGACTGAGTCACATGCAAGCTGCTCTGCTCTGAATTTCTGCTCTTCTACAATACTTATAGCATCCCTGATTATTTGGGATTGGCAGTTGCAATGCAATGTGTTGAATCTCCACAAGATACTCATATGATGGACACAAGCCATATCAGTCAAGTGTAATGTGTCTAAACATCACCATATCAGTTAATGTTCTGAATCGGAGAATACTCTGTTTCTAGGCTGAAATGTGTCAAAGAAACGTTTCTCTTACCTGTAACAGTGCAACTCCTATGAAGATCCCAGCCACCACTGTCAGGTTGTCCTGTAACCACTTCTCAAACTGTGGCACACAACCTTTCACATGGATGTAGGTCTTCTGCTCTGCGTCCTACAACAATGGACAATGACACGTTTATTACAGGGAGCTTCTTAGCCTCCAAATGGCATGAAAACCAAGCATATGCCTTCATTATACGACCATCGTATTCTATTTTATATCCCTTCATTATATTATATGACTTCCTATCTTCTCAGGAATGTGTCTCCTGCACCATAATAATAGAGGCTACTATATCAGGGAAACGAGACAAGGACAAATGTAAGGGAAGGATAAAGGAAGGCGGTAGAGAGGGAAAGAGGAGAGAAATGGAACAGCACTCACTGTTTTGGCTCGTACGTCATAGCCGCACTGTGTGTTTATCACATCCTCCTAATGAAGAGAAATAAAAGTGTTATCAAAAAGAGAAGTCAACTGTCATAACCCCGACCTGCATTGCTAATACCACTGACACCCATGACCGTTTCCTGTTTGTGTGTCAATTCATGTTTGAGTTTCTGACCAATAATATGGGCATGTTAGCATTAGCATGGATGCTGTCTGAGAAATGGTTTTTGCTGTTTCATAGATGCTGCCATTGGGACTAACCAGAAGCAAAGTAATTTTCAGTGAACTACCCCTTTAACTGTAAAAGCGTGACACATTCATCAGAGAGTAAGGGAACACAATTTCCACTACAGCATGTAGGATTCATTGTTCAAAGTGCCCCAATGATGAAAGACGTTACTGTAATAGTCCCGATCTTCCAGATGCCATTCTGAAAAGGATTTAGCCCTTGATGCCCTTGTCACAGGCAGTCCCGTGTAACTGATGTTTTCTGAATGTGTGGAGGCCATTGTTACAATGTTCTCTCGCTCTCTTTGTCATTGTCTTCTCTCTTCTGTCCCGTTCTACCTCTCCTATGTCCTTACATCACAGTATCTATTCTTCAGTCAATCCCTTTTGTTGCTCAGTTTTCTTGTCATTCTCTCTGACTCAATATGCCTTACTTTCTTGCTGCCTCCCTCTACTCCAATTGAGCACTCTTATGAAAGCAGCTTTATCCAAGGGGTCTTAGGGCTGCGTTCCAAATTGGAGACTTACTCACTTTCCTCCGTCCTTGACGACTCCCCCTCACATATCTGAGGAGACTGGATCAGTGAAAAACAGAGCCATAGATACAGTATATCTATAAGTCTGGCTAAGTCCACCATTTTGGTTTTAACCCATCCAGTGTTTTCAGATCTGCAACAGCAAGCCAAGGACTAAGGGGAAGGGAGCAGATTTCCAGTTTGGAATGCAGGCTTGATCACCGAACTCCATGACCCATGTCTCTGACATGTGAGGCTTTCTTACCGCAGGGTCCTTGGTGCAGCAGGAGAAGGGGACGCCACATTTCTCCCGACTGGGGTTGGTGTCCGTGCAGTTGAAGTAAATGTTGAGGTTCCAGTCGTCCGCTCCGAATGCGCCGCAACACTCCCACTGAGAAGAAAGCAGCAGAGAATAGAACATCAACAACACATCCACGTTTCTTCCTTTAATTAAACATTTTTATTTCACTTTAATTATACAGGAAGTTCCATTACCTCACAACACATGCACACACTAGTGATTCACAGGTTGACTCATAACCCGCAGTCCCCGCGGTTATATAATTATTAATTAGGCCCTAATTGCTCCTGTATGTTGCTCTGGATAAGAGCGTCTGATCGATGACAAAATATGTAAAAAAAATATCTGAACACTGACTGTAAGTCTATGACCTCTCACATAGCCTAATATAATATTAACTCCTGCAGAATTAAGCATCTCTTGCAGTAAAATGATACACCAAATGTACATTTTGACTCAGGAACAGGAGTGGAGAAATATGATTTATTTATTTCAGCATCTTCAGAGAATTAATGTGTGGTTATGGACCGTCTGTAATGGTGGCGAGGCTATTTTTATCAGCATCATAAAAGCTGATAGTATTTCAACCACATAAAATATGCATCCAAACCGAACTGAAATCTTATCAAAAACATGTTGGGTTGTTTTAACAGCTTTTAAATTGCCTTAAAATCGGTCAAACTGATGTCATTTGAACATTTTGCACAGGAAATCGTTCCCTTTTTTGGGGATCGGGGGGGTATTGCATTTTCTCCCCGGTCCCTAAACATCTTTGCTGCATGAGAGAAGAATAGCTGAAAGAGGAAAGAGAAAAAACGTTTTCCGACGTCAACTAGATTGAAGCATTCATTCTATCGATTTATGACATTATTCTGGTGAGCAAGGGTTTATTTAGTCTTCTAGGGCAACAAGTAATGACAAAAGCTGCATTTATCGAATTATAGAAAAACTCGTTCTGGGGAAAAAAAGTATTTAGTCAGCCACCAATTGTGCAAGTTCTCCCACTTACTTGTAATTTTCATCATAGGTACACGTCAACTATGACAGACAAATTGAGGGAAAAAAATTCCAGAAAATCACATTATAGGATTTTTAATGAATTTATTTGCAAATTATGGTGGAAAATAAGTATTTGGTCACCTACAAACAAGCAAGATTTTTGGCTCTCACAGACCTGTAACTTCTTCTTTAAGAGGCTCCTCTGTCCTCCACTCGTTACCTGTATTAATGGCACCTGTTTGAACTTGTTATCAGTCTAAAAGACACCTGTCCACAACCTCAAACAGTCACATTCCAAACTCCACTATGGCCAAGACCAAAGAGCTGTCAAAGGACACCAGAAACAAAATTGTAGACCTGCACCAGGCTGGGAAGACTGAATCTGCAATAGGTAAGCAGCTTGGTTTGAAGAAATCAACTGTGGGAGCAATTATTAGGAAATGGAAGACATACAAGACCACTGATAATCTCCCTCGATCTGGGGCTCCACGCAAGATCTCACCCCGTGGGGTCAAAATGATCACAAGAACGGTGAGCAAAAATCCCAGAACCACACGGGGGGGACCTAGTGAATGACCTGCAGAGAGCTGGGACCAAAGTAACAAAGCCTACCATCAGTAACACACTACGCCGCGAGGGACTCAAATCCTGCAGTGCCAGACGTGTCCCCCTGCTTAAGCCAGTACATGTCCAGGCCCGTCTGAAGTTTGCTAGAGTGCATTTGGATGATCCAGAAGAGGATTGGGAGAATGTCATATGGTCAGATGAAACCAAAATAGAACTTTTTGGTAAAAACTCAACTCGTCGTGTTTGGAGGACAAAGAATGCTGAGTTGCATCCAAAGAACACCATACCTACAGTGAAGCATGGGGGTGGAAACATGATGCTTTGGGACTGTTTTTCTGCAAAGGGACCAGGACGACTGATCCGTTTAAGGAAAGAATGAATGGGGCCATGTATCGTGAGATTTTGAGTGAAAACCTCCTTCCATCAGCAAGGGCATTGAAGATGAAACGTGGCTGGGTCTTTCAGCATGACAATGATCCCAAACACACCGCCCGGGCAATGAAGGAGTGGCTTCGTAAGAAGCATTTCAAGGTCCTGGAGTGGCCTAGCCAGTCTCCAGATCTCAACCCCATAGAAAATCTTTGGAGGGAGTTGAAAGTCTGTGTTGCCCAGCGACAGCCCCAAAACATCACTGCTCTAGAGGAGATCTGCATGGAGGAATGGGCCAAAATACCAGCAACAGTGTGTGAAAACCTTGTGAAGACTTACAGAAAACGTTTGACCTGTGTCATTGCCAACAAAGGGTATATAACAAAGTATTGAGAAACTTTTGTTATTGACCAAATACTTATTTTCCACCATATAATTTGCAAATAAATTCATAAAAAATCCTACAATGTGATTTTCTGGATTTTTTCCTCATTTTGTCTGTCATAGTTGACGTGTACCTATGATGAAAATTACAGGCCTCCCTCATCTTTTTAAGTGGGAGAACTTGCACAATTGGTGGCTGACTAAATACTTTTTTTCCCCACTGTACAGCACATTTTCTATATTTGCGGGTTAGGGTAGGGCCTCAGATTTTCACTTTATCATATATAGTCGGGCAGTTGCAGATGGGTTATTAGAAATTGCGTGCGGGTGAACAAACAGCTGACACACACACACACTGCACTGCTGCAGCGTAGCAGTGCTATCATATATGGTGAAAACAAAGAGTTCCAATGTTTAGAGCGAATTACTTTGTAGAATCTCTCATCTCACACACCATCAGTGTGGGTGGTGTGTGACTGACAGAGATTGTGGAAGGCTGAAAACAGGGCACATATTTACTGTGTCTCACAGTTCAGTTTTGCCTTTCAGATCCTAATGAATAAGAAAGGGGGGGTGAACTGATCCTAGATCAGAACTCCTACTATGAGACGCTTTGTGAATAGAGGCCCCGATGGAATACGACAAGCGCCTCTGCCAACCAGTTGGCTACACTAACAAAGGCCTGCCTATGAATAGAGAAACTGAGACTAAGACTAAGACCAATCCAGAGAGGAGATTCTACTCAAGGCCCTTGTGAATTCAATAAATATGTGGGCTAAAGCATATATATTCATTTCTGATAACAATATAAGGAACCTGAGTGAGGATTTGAATACACATTCTTGAGTGAAACAAAACGAATGAGTCATATTATATAACATTTCATGTTTTATTACAGAACTACTGTATTGCATTGAAAGTAATTCAGCATAACTCATTTTAAAATGGTAATCTCACAAGCAAGGCAGGCGTAATAGCTTTAGCACCTAATCATTGTATGATGTGATTAGCAGTCCAATAAGCAAAAGTGGTTAAACTAGTGCAGAGGTAAACTGCATTGAACACTTTCATTAGCGTCAACTGCTTCCTTCCTTTTATCTCTCCATCTCGTTTATACTTATGTACAGTACCAGCCAAAAGTTTGGACACCTACTCATTCCATTTTTACTATTTTCTACATTGTAGAATAATAGTGAAGACACCAAAACTATGAAATAACACATATGGAATCATGTAGTAACCAAAAAAAAGTGTTCAACTAATCAAAATAAATGTATATTTGAGATTCTTCAAATTGCCACCCTTTGCCTTGATGACAGCTTTGCACACTCTTGGCATTCTCTCAACCAGCTTCACCTGGAATGCTTTTCCAACAGTCTTGAAGGAGTTCCTACATATGCTAAGCACTTGTTGGCTGCCTTTCCTTCACTCTGCCCGTCCGACTCATCCCAAACCATCTCAATTGGGTTGAGGTCGGGGGATTGTGGAGGCCAGGTCATCTGATGCAGCACTCCATCACTCTCCTTCTTGGCAAAATAGCCCTTACACAGCATGGAGGTGTGTTGGGTCATTGTCCTGTTGAAAAACAAATTATAGTCCCAGTAAGCCCAAACCAGATAGGATAGCGTATCACTGCAGAATGCTGTGGTAGCCATGCTGGTTAAGTGTGCCTTGAATTCTAAATAAATCACAGATAGTGTCACCAGCAAAGCACCCCCACACCATAACACCTCCTCCTCCATGCTTTACGGTGGGAACTACACATGTGGAGATCATCCGTTAACCCACACCGCATCTCACAAAGACACAGCGGTTGGAACCAGAAATCTTCAATTTGGACTCCAGACCAAAGGACACATTTCCACCGGTCTAATGTCCATTGCTCGTGTTTCTTGGCCTAAGCAGGTTTCTTCTTCTTATTGGTGTCCTTTAGTAGTGGTTTCTTTGTAGCAATTCGACCATGAAGGCCTGATTCACACAGTCCCCTCTAAACAGTTGATGTTGAGATGTGTCTGTGACTTGAACTCTGTGAAGCATTTATTTGGGCTGCAATTTCTGAGGCTGGTAACTCAAATGAACGTATCCTCTGCAGCAGAGGTAACTCTGGGTCTTCTATTCCTGTGGTGGTCCTCATGAGAGCCAGTTTCATTATAGCGCTTGATGGTTTTCGCGACTGCACTTGAAGAAACGTTCAAAGTTCTTGAAATTTTCCGTATTGACTGACCTTCGTGTCTTAAAGTAATGGATGGACTGTCGTTTCGCTTTGCTTATTTGAGCTGTTCTTGCCATAATATGGACTTGGCCTTTTATTAAATAGGGCTATCATCTGTATACCCCCCCTACCTTGTCACAACACAACTGATTGGCTCAACCGTATTTAGAAGGAAAGAAATTCCACAAAGGCACACTTGTTAATTGAAATGCATTCCAGGTGACTACCTCATGAAGCTGGTTGAGAGAATGCCAAGAGTGTGCAAAGCTGTCATCAATGCAAAGGGTGGCTATTTGAAGAATCTCAAATATAAATGTATTTTGATTTGTTTAACACTTTTTGGGTTACTACATGATTCCATATGTGTTATTTCATAATTTTGATGTCTTCACTATTATTCTACAATGTAAAAATAAAGAAAAACCCTTGAATGAGTAGGTGTGTCCAAACTTTTGGCTGGTACTGTACATAAGTATATACCCTTTACACACAGAGCAATAAAACATTTTCCAAACAAATTTAAAACAAGCTTGAACAAATGTAGGGACCAATTATGATACAACATTAATAATCTTACACACAACCTAAGTACAGCAATCGTACAGTAGTAACTTCAGTTTCACAGCAATCAAATGAGTTCATTAATTAAGTTCAAGGGAGAGGCACATACCAGTAGACACCGGGGCCCTCAAGAACCTGGGTAGTCAGCCCCAGTGAAATTGCTCACCTTACCTCTCCAGCAATATTTACTGTAAGTTTCTGAGGTGTGTGTTTTTTTATGAAGTCAATGTTGATTTCTGTAACTTGCCCCATGGAGGCCACTGTTTCTCTGATTCTTATCGAGTAGCTCCTCTGTGATTCTTCCCTCATGTATCTCCAGTGTAATGCGAAAGAGTTGCAGTCCTCTTTTATCAATTAAGAGCACTGATTCACTGGATTGTCACATCTCCAACCAGTAACAGTTCACTTGTAGTCTGTACGCCCTTGGGATCCATAAAGTACTCTGATCGCCTCCTGTGTCAGCAGAGTCTGATCCACCTTTAATATCTTGAGGTGGCTGCAGTGTCCCTTGAGGGCATCTGTACTGATGTATGACATGCGCAGATTGAGTTAAGTAAACATGTCGAAGCTGACCACCGTTGTTGTGACTCCTTATTTTAAATAATACTAGTGTCTATCTTTCAGTGTGAAGCGCTTTATGATGAGACCTTAGGCCAAAAGCTTTTGACGGATGACATTTTCCTGACCATGTCTTACACCGAGGTGTTACAAGTAGTCTTCTCTGGCGAATCTGTTCTTTTAACAACAAAATCAAAATAACCTGCGGGAACATAATTGATGGAAATCAGTACTGTCTGTAGGTTTTCATAGTTCAGGACGAGGCTTGCCAAACTTGATGCAGTCTCCTCCACCAGAGTACCCACTACGACTGCTACAGAGGAGGTTTAGCTTCGCAAAAAGGGTCTTGAGCAGCCATGCCACCTGCTTATCAAATAGATCATTCATGAGCACATTGAAATTAGTCAGACTGTTGTTCTCCAGAAGAGCTGACCAAAGATGTACCACTTCATGTGGAGGACCAGAATTAATCCCCAAAAAATTACAATTGGGAGATTTCAGTGAAGAGCACAGTATTTCAAATCCTCCATCCAGCAAGTCGAGTACCTTTACACACTTATGTAAGGCATGCTATTTTTATCTCTTTGCAATTGAGACTTAGGCTCTTCATTTGTTTACAATTTTCAACGCAATATGATAACGCCCATGATAATTATTTGTGGAAGCTACCAGTCTTTATGCTCACATTATTTTTAATCACGTCTCCAACAAACGTTTTATCATGCAGCTCATTGAGACATTTGAACAGAAATCCACTATGTTAGACTAGCCATTGGCGACCATCTTTTAACCAGTTTAGTAACTGTGAATCAGCTGGCAAGTCAAGGTTTAACTCCTCCTTTATGAAGCTCCTTGTTTTTCTGTTAAACAGGCCAGAGAGAAATGGCAAAATAGTCTATTTTAGAGAAGAGCTAGAAGTAAAACCTAGCTTCATTTGGTCAGCTGCGTGTAGAATCTGTCCGAGAGAGATTAGAGATGAGCTAGTACTTCCCAATAGTAATCCTTCTCTTTGGCTCTTCTTCATCACAGAGAACATACACTGACTGTACTTTCCATGACAGACTGACCAGGTGAATCTAGGTGAAAGCTATGATCCCTTATTAATGTCCCCTGTTAAATCCACTTCAATCAGTGTAGATGAAAGGGAGGAGACAAGTTAAAGAAGGATTTTTAGGCCTTGAGACAATTGAGACATGGATTGTGTATGTGTGTCATTCAGAGGGTGAATTGGCAAGACAAAATATTTAAGTGCCCTTGAACGGGGTATGGTAGCAAGTGCCAGGCGCACCGGTTAGAGTGTGTCAAGAACTGCAACGCTGCTGGGTTTTTCACGCTCAACAGTTTCCCGTGTGTATCAAGAATGGTCCACCAGCCAACTTGACACAACTGTGGCAAGCATTGGAGTCAACATGGGCCAGCAGCATCCCTGTGCAAGGCTTTCGACATCTTGTAGAGTCCATGCCCCCGATGAATTGAGGCTGTTCTGAGGGCAAAAGAGGGTGCAACTCAATCGTAGGAAGGTGTTCCTAATGTTTTGCACCCTCAGTGTACAACTGCGAAGAACTCTTGGAGTGTGAGGTGAGCGAAGCTGTAAACCCTTTGGCAGTGGGTTGTCTTCTTCAATAAGACCTTATTCAAAAACAGTGATGGAACTTAGGAGAGCGTAGAAAACTCTTGAATCACATCTTGTTCTTTAAATAGAACATGTTTTTCCTGTATTCCTCTTCTTGCTAAATTGCCAAGACATTGAAGGATGTTTTGGGAAGGAGCACCTGATTCTTGTACAACAAAAATTTTGGTATTTGTTTCCAAAGCATGATGTATGAAAAATGTATGCACTCACTAACTGTAAGTCACTCTGGATAAGAGTGTCTGCTAAATGACTAAAATGTAAATGTAAAATGTAGATCTGTGCCTTTCTCAGAATGTTCTCTCAAAACAGTGTAAACTATCCAGCACATAACTGGACTGAAACATGTTGTGAACACATTTTCATTTCCTTTCACATTCATCACAGCTTATGTTTTCTGCAAGTCATTGTCAAAACATTTTATTGTACTCCTCAACTCCCTCCTGTGAGAATCCAAGAATGTCTATATATGTACAGTGGGGAGAACAAGTATTTGATACACTGCCGATTTTGCAGGTTTTCCTACTTACAAAGCATGTAGAGGTCTGTAATTTTTATCATAGGTACACTTCAACTGTGAGAGACGGAATCTAAAACAAAAATCCAGAAAATCACATTGTATGATTTTTAAGTAATGAATTTGTATTTTATTGCATGACATAAGTATTTGATACATCAGAAAAGCAGAACTTAATATTTGGTACAGAAACCTTTGTTTGCAATTACAGAGATCATACGTTTCCTGTATGTCTTGACCAGGTTTGCACACACTGCAGCAGGGATTTTGGCCCACTCCTCCATACAGACCTTCTCCAGATCCTTCAGGTTTCGGGGCTGTCGCTGGGCAATACGGACTTTCAGCTCCCTCCAAAGATTTTCTATTGGGTTCAGGTCTGGAGACTGGCTAGGCCACTCCAGGACCTTGAGATGCTTCTTACGAAGCCACTCCTTAGTTGCCCTGGCTGTGTGTTTCAGGTCGTTATCATGCTGGAAGACCCAGCCACGACCCATCTTCCATGCTCTTACTGAGGGAAGGAGGTTGTTGGCCAAGATCTCGCAATACATGGCCCTATCCATCCTCCCCTCAATACGGTGCAGTCGTCCTGTCCCCTTTGCAGAAAAGCATCCCCAAAGAATGATGTTTCCACCTCCATGCTTCATGGTTGGGATGGTGTTCTTGGGGTTGTACTCATCCTTCTTCTTCCTCCAAACACGGCGAGTGGAGTTTAGACCAAAAAGCTCTATTTTTGTCTCATCAGACCACATTACCTTCTCCCATTCCTCCTCTGGATCATCCAGATGGTCATTGGCAAACTTCAGACGGGCCTGGACATGCGCTGGCTTGAGCAGGGGGACCTTGTGTGCGCTGCAGGATTTTAATCCATGACGGCGTAGTGTGTTACTAATGGTTTTCTTTGAGACTGTGTTCCCAGCTCTCTTCAGGTCATTGACCAGGTCCTGCCGTGTAGTTCTGGGCTGATCCCTCACCTTCCTCATGATCATTGATGCCCCACGAGGTGAGATCTTGCATGGAGCCCCAGACCAAGGGTGATTGACCGTCATCTTGAACTTCTTCCATTTTCTAATAATTTTGCCAACAGTTGTTGCCTTCTCACCCAGCTGCTTGCCTATTGTCCTGTAGCCCATCCCAGCCTTGTGCAGGTCTACACTTTTATCCCTGATGTCCTTACACAGCTCTCTGGTCTTGGCCATTGTGGAGAGGTTGGAGTCTGTTTGATTGAGTGTGTGGACAGGTGTCTTTTATACAGGTAAAGAGTTCAAACAGGTGCAGTTAATACAGGTAATGAGTGGAGAACAGGAGGGCTTCTTAAAGAAAAACTAACAGGTCTGTGAGAGCTGGAATACTTACTGGTTGGTAGGTGATCAAATACTTATGTCATGCAATAAAATGCAAATTAATTACTTAAAAATCATACAATGTGATTTTCTGGATTTTTAGATTCCATCTCTCACAGTTGAAGTGTACCTATGATAAAAATTACAGACCTCTACATGCTTTGTAAGTAGGAAAACCTGCAAAATCAGCAGTGTATCAAATACTTGTTCTCCCCACTGTATATATATTTTTTAAACTAGGCAAGTCAGTTAAGAACAATTTATTATTTACAATGACGGCCTACACTGGCCAAACCCGGACATCGCTGGGCCAATTGTGCACCACCCTATGGGACTCCTAATCACAGCCGGTTGTGATACAGCCTGGAATCGAACCAGGGGGTCTGAAGTGACGCCTCAAGCACTGAGATGCAGTGCCTTAGACCACTGCGCCACTCGGGAGCCCTATAGCATGGACCTTTAAGGAGTGTCTTCAGAATGTCTAAAGCTCCTGGTCTGCTAGTGATGAGTAAAAATTATTTGGGTAAGATCTTTTTACGCAACAGTTCCCCAGGAATATCTTCATGGGATCTTTTCTGGTTTGGGACATTGCTGGAAATTGCCGCAGCACAGAAAGAAACCTTCAACTCATCAAAACCCTCCAGGATGAAGAAGATCTTCTCTGGACGGGAGAGAATGTGTGGAATCACTGGCTTCAAGTCTGGGTTGCAGTTCAGTATAAGATCAGTGAGACTCACGTCAAGATTAATGAAATTTACCTGCTGGCACTTTCAGAGGAAGACATATTCAAAAACACTCTGATCCAATCCAACATGATTTTCTGTGTGCTTGGCCTTGTAATAGAACAGTTCTTCTCCATATTGATCAGGTTCAAACAGTCTCTCTATGCTGGTGTTCTGACTGTTCATGGTCCTCAGGACATTCTGCAAGGCAGCTTATCTCCTGCACTTTCTCCCACTAGTTTCTGTGTTTCTGGACCATTGAGCGCTTTGTGTATCGTTTCCCAAGTAGCAACGTCTCTCCAATGCAGGAGTGATTTTCTTGCACTGTGGAAAACTCAGACTTCCTCTGTTCCTGGTAATCATCCCTGACCAGGTCTGGGTTTTTCTCCATGATAAGCCAAGGATATTTCTCCTTTAGTATCCCATAAAATGCCTCCTTCTGGGTTGGACTGGACAGGGCAGAGTACAGCTCCCTCATTTGATCCTGGCTGGTTTTGGCCTTCTGGATCTTAGTGTAGGCCTCATCATTGATCCAATTTTGTGAGACCAGGGCATCTGCGAGGAGGTCTGCCCTGTGCTTTTCTAAAAACTGGACATCACTAGTTTTGGATCTTTTGATCTTGCCTCTAAATCATCGTCTTTATGTGAGTGGTCATCCAAGAGTGTATCTAGTCATAATTGGCAACAAATACACGGTCAACAAACAAACTTTGTGTCCATAGAGAATATTGTTTCATATGCTCAGACAACTCTCTCGTTTGGTACAACACTTATAATGTTCAGACACCATAATGTGATGCCACAAGGCAGCCAAAAACGACATCCCACCAAAACAGGCAGAAATTTCAGGTGGTCTTTTCAAACAGCTCTTACACTAAAAAGGCATTATCATAATTTTCACAACTTCACAGAATTATTCCAAACTCATAGTGTGGAAATATACAGTGCCTTCAGAAAGTATTCACACCTCTTGACTTTTTCCACATTTTGTTGTGTTACAGCCTGAGTTGGAAATTGATTAAATTAAGCTTTTGTGTACACACAATACCCTATAATGTCAAAGTGGAAAAATGTTTTTAGACATCTTTACAAATTAATAAATAATGAAAAGCTGAAATGGCTTGAGTCAATATGTATTCAACCCCTTTTTTATGGTAAGCCTAAATAAGTTCAGGAGTAGAAATGTGCTTAATAAGTCACATTATAAGTTGCATGGACTCACTCTGTGTGCAATAATAATAGTGTTTAACATGATTTTTGAATGACTACCTCATCTCTGTACCTCACACATACAATTATCTGTAAGGTCCCTCAGTCCAGTAGTGAATTTCAAACATAGATTCAACCACAAATACCAGGGAGGTTTTCCAATGCCATTGTCCCTTTGAGCATGGTGAAGTTATTAATTACACTTTGGATGGTGTATCAATACACCCAGTCAATACAAAGATACAGGCATCCTTCCTAACTCAGTTGCCGGAGAGGAAGGAAACCGCTTAGGGATTTCACCATGAGGCCAATGGTGACTTTAAAACAGTTTAATGGCTGTGATAGGAGAAAACTGAGGATGGATCAACAACATTGTAGTTACTCCACAATACTAACCTAAATGACAGAGTGAAAAGAAGGAAGCCTGTACAGAATAAAAATATTCCAAAACATGCATTCTGTTTGCAATAAGGCACTAAAGTAAAACTGCAAAAAATGTGGCAAAGAAATTAACTTTATGTCCTGAATACAAAGCATTATGTTTGGGGCAAATCAAATACAACACATCACTGAGTAACACTCTTTATATTTTCAAGCATGGTGGTGGATGCATCATGTTATCGGTATGCTTGTCATCGGAAAGGACTAGGGAGTGTTTTAGGATAAAAAGAAACAGAATAGAGATAAGCACAGGCAAAATCCTAGAGAAAAACCTGGTTCAGTCTGCTTTCCAACAGACACTGGAAGACAAATTCACCTTTCAGCAGTAACCTAAAACACAAGGCCAAATATACACTGTAGTTGCTTACCAATATGATGTTGAATGTTCCTGAGTGGCCTTGTTACAGTTTTAACTTAAATCAGCTTGAAAATCTATGGCAAGACTTGAAAATGGTTGTCCATCAATGATCAACAACCAACTTGACAGAACTTGAAGAATTTTAAAAATAATAATGTGCAAATATTGTACAATCCAGGTGTGCAAAGCTCTTAAAGACTTACCCAGAAAGTCTCACAGCTGTAATCACTGCCAAAGGTGATTCTAACGTATTGAATCAGGGGGTTGAATACTTATGTAATCAAAATATATTAGTGTTTTATTTTTCATAATTGTTTTTGAAATGTTAGAATTTTTCTTCCACTTTGACATTAGAGTATTTTGTGTAGATCGTTGACAAAAACAGGACAATTAATCCCACCTTGAATACTTTCTGAAAGCGCTGTATATAAAACACAGAAAAATCTCATTTTTGACTGCACTGGGCCTTTAAACATATTGTTCTGGGTGGTATGTATGCTATAGCAGATTGCAAATTGCAAATTTACCGCATTCCTGGATTGGGAGGAATATTGAAAATACTATGGGAGATTCTCATGTCGTGGATAAAAATATCCTTTTCACGAAAATTGTTAAGAGCACTACACATCAGAGGAGTATCACCATCTATTGTAGGCCACCCTGCATTCCCTAGTTGCTATAGAAACATAGTATACGTTGCCAAGGCATCGGGAAGTATGAGTGGGGCAACCAGGCTCTATCGCTCTCTCACACGCCCACACACACACATGCTCCTACCGCCGCACCTTACATGACCAACTCTTCACCTCACTCAAACCAGAGCTTCTCCTCTGTAGTAACTACATTTTCATTTACACACACACACACACACAAACACACACACACACACACACACACACACACACACACACACACACACACACACACACACACACACACACACACACACACACACACACACACACACACACACACACACACACACACACACACACACACACACACACACACACACACACACACAATGATCTTCAAACGCTTACATATTCCTGAGTGAAGTCTATGAGGTTCTGGAGGTCGATGTCGTCACGATATGCCCGAATGTTGTTGTTGATGAAGAAGTTAAGCTGGTCCTTGATCCAGTCCTTGAAGACAAAGGCCAATACTCCAGCCGTCAGCTCCAGGAAGAAGATGATCCCCAGGAACACAGAGAACTGGAGCACAGGAACAGTGGGATAAAGAGAGGGGGAAATGGAAATAATCATACACAAAGCTAGGATTTAGTACTGATGATTTTGTCCTGTGTTTCTCATTCCATTCCTGGGGAATCAACCTGCAGGTGGTGCACATATTTGTTTTAGCCCAGCACTAACACACCTGACTAATCAACTAGACAGAAGTGTTCTATAATAACTGATGTTTGAGACAGTACATGGTGGGATGGTTTCCCAGCCCCAGAAAAAGGCTACACATCATGGATTAAACATGTTGGACATAGCCGCAGGAAGTACGGGTGCTGAGTCTGGGGAGTGAGTGGGAGTTCAAGAGGGAGCCAATCATCTACATAGCACATATACATAAATGATGTACATACACACACATAGAAATGTGTATGTCTATGGGATCCAACTGGGAGTGAGAGAATTGTGGACGTACAAACTTGAGCAGGAAGGTGTTTTCCCTCAGCGCGCCGATGCAGCCGGCGAAGCCCAGGATAAACATGACCCCTCCCGTCACCAGGAAGAGCCAGACAGGGTCAAAGCCCCCCAGGTCTGTGATGGACGAGATGTTGGAGAGAACACCCTGGAGAGAGAGGGAAAGAAAGAGACAGTGTGTGTGTGTGTGTGTGTGTGTGTGTGTGTGTGTGTGTGTGTGTGTGTGTGTGTGTGTGTGTGTGTGTGTGTGTGTGTGTGTGTGTGTGTGTGTGTGTGTGTGTGTGTGTGTGTGTGTGTGTGTGTGTGTGTGTGTGTGTGTGTGTGTGTGTGTGTGTGTGTGTGAGAGAGTGAGAGTGAGAGAGAGAATACAATGTACCAGGGACCATTATCATTCTAAGGTTAACTCCCTAGTATACAGTATGTCAAGCTGTCAGCCTTGATATTCTTCTACCAGCTCCACCCTTGTAGCTTTCTGTACGAGGTAGATCCAGTCATTCTAATAAAAACAAACTATCTTTGTATTTCCCAAAAGCAACTCATGCACTTCCTCCTTACTGGTTTTGTGCGTCTTTACTGCTGTTTTGTTAAATATGTGCAACTCTAAAACTATCATGTGATATTTCACCATTTAGTGTGTAATGGTGTGTGTCACTATGAGACACAATGCAAATGGTACCTGGGCTCATATGCATAAAGTGTCTCAGGAGTGCTGATCTAGGATCAGTTTTGCCTTCTAAACCATAATGAATTAAAGGGGACACCTAAACTGTATGCTTTCTATACCTGTGCATCCCTACTTCCTTGTCACCTGTGTGCCTACATACATGTGACCAGTGACCCCTGACCCAACAGCCCTCTAGTGTACAAATTAAGTGGAATATACATAGATAGACAAACTACATAGATAGACAACACAACAAGCACATAAGACAAAATGGCTCCTACAAGGTCTGTATGTCAGAGGTAGACAGTGCCCTTATGGGTGCTTCTGTTGTTGTTTCCGTAATCATATTTTCACAAATGACTCAAAATACTCAAAGTTTGAGAACTTGGGCTGTCTTATATCAAAGATAATGCATGGAAGCATGCCATGTTGCTGGTCAGCAGGTGGTTTGCTACTCTTCCAGACACCAGAGAGGTAAATGACAAAGGGTGGAAAAAGACTGATTGTATATTGTACTTAAGTGAACATTTCTTTGTTTAATAAGACCTTATTTGATGTTCTTACTGGGTCCTTATGTTACCCAGTCTCCACTCACCTTCTCATTCCATGCCCATAGTCCGATTCCAAGGAAGGCCACACCCAGCAACTGAAAGAGACCACAGACAGACAATATGTCACATTAATAATCACGCTACTGCATCATATACTGTTACAAACTTCAGAGAGACACAAAGAGGGTGAAACCACTCCTTCCTGCACTCAAGTTCACCTTTTTCAAAATGTATTATCTTTCAATTTCACGTTTGACACTTAAGAAGGTTTTTTCCACATCATGGGTCTCAGTGATGATCGTCAGTTACATAAACATACAACTCACATTACTTAACTTTCCAGTACTAAATTGCATGTTTTGACATCTTCAATTGCTTATTCTAAACAGGAGTCAAGGATTTAAAAAAAGCCGGAATGTACAATTCTCCCAAGGAATCTCCTAACTCAACTGGAATGTCTGCCCAGTCAGAATATTAACGGTTTGATTTCTGGGACAAAACTTTTATTCATAAACCCTTATCTAAAACCCTTATTCTGAAAAGCCAGGTTTGACCAATGAAATAGATTGACCTAACTAACTAACTAACTAACTAACTTGGTGATAACATCTTAAACCGCTATCTCAGTTGAAAGGGAGAGACAAGTCTGAGGTGTCTGCCTGCCTGTCTGATAGTCTGTCCGCAAGTTTGTCTATTCTGTTTTTCTGCCTGCCTGTCTGTATGTCCGTCTGTCTGTCTAAGAGGAAGCTGTGTGGTGGGGGCCAGGCGTCTGGAAGCTGGCTGAATGTGGCGGACCATTTCCAAATGACAACAACAGGAAGTGAACGAGACAGGCTCAAGCTCTCCAACCTTCCAGCTCGGATTGAACAAGCCCTGTCAGTCAGCTCTGTGCAACTTTGCTGGCCCTATTTGTCACTGAATGACATGAACAAACGGCTGCATTTATACGCCAGCTACAGGGGACACTGAGACACTGGCAGAGCGGCCATTGCACCTCATCTGGCTGCAGTCTGGCACCGTTTGCAAACTATTATCCTGAACAGCACTGATCTCCTGTCAGTGCACCAGGGCTACTTCATGTGGTTGTAATACAGAGCTGTTGGCTAAGGTCTGAGATCAGAGGCCTAGGGGCGAGTATAAAGAGGGTGCCACAACCAACCGAGATGTGTGGCTAGATGAGCTGAGCTATAAATAAGAGCAGCACACCCCTAAACTTCGATCAGCCATTGTTAGATTATCAATGATACAAGTTCATTGTCACTCTGGAGAAGAATGACTGCAAGGTCATAACATGTAGGGTGATGGCCCAGTTTGGTCAGTGCTCTGCATATTTACTGTATGTGAGAGGCAGGGCCAGAATGAGCAGTCCTGTGTGTTCTGATGGCTGGGACACCCCAAGGGCTTGGATCAATAGGCTGCACTAACACGAGAGACAAGAGCTAAGCCTTGACAGCTGGGTGCTTGACATGGTCAATGCACACATACACACACGCATGCACACACATGCAAACACACACACACGCAAATCACAAAGGGAGTGATACACGTGCATGCACACACACAGTAATGTGGTAGCTTGATGTTCTCATAAAAACACAGATATCGCAGCTGTGGCTAAAACAACACGTCAGAGTGATGGATAGTCCCGGTTAAAGCAACCCTCCTCCATCTCCATTCTGCCTACAGTGAGGTTGTTTGTCAACTGAGGGGTGGGTGTTGGCAAATGTAACGGCTCTGAGTTATTTGAATTCTACCTAAAGACAATGAGGGTGGTTTTGGGTAGCCTGGTCCCAGATCTGTTTGTGTTCCTGCCAACTCAATTGCTGTCAGTCAAGCCAAACATGACCATGAGTGACAGGGAGCTGGCACTCAGGCTAGGTTTTGGGGGGTGATTACATCAATGTCCTGCAAAAAATGCTTGGTGATTCTTAGAACGGCCTAGCTACTAAGTTCCTTCTCCTTGATAACAATGCCTAAAGGCATCTGTTGTCGTGACGACAGAGAGCACTTCGACTTGTCATTCATCTCAGCGTGGCTCACAGTCACATTCAGTGTCTTCAGAAAGTATTCATCCCCCTTGACTTACTTCACATTTTATTGTGTTACAGCCTGAATTCAAATGGGTTAAATATATTTTCTACACACAATACCCCATAATGACAAAGTTAAAACATGTTTTTAGAAATGTTTGCAAATGTGTTGAAAATGAAATACAGAAATAAGCAATTCTTGGTAAGCAATTCAAGTGTAGATTTGGCCTTGTGTTTTAGGTTATTGTCCTACTGAAAGGTGAATTAATCTCTCAGTGGCTGGTGAAAAGCAGACAACCAGGTTTTCCTTTAGGATTTTGCCTGTGCTTAGCTCCATTCCGTTTATTTTTTATCCTGAAAAACTCCCCAGTCCTAAACGATTACAAGCATACCCATAACATGATGCAGCCATCAATATGCTTGAAAATATGGAGTGGTACTCTGTAATGTGTTGTATTGGATTCAACCAAACATAACTTTGAATTCAGGACAAAAAGTGAATTGCTTTGCACATTTTTTGAAGTTTTACTTTAGTGCCTTGTTGCAAACAAGATGCATGTTTTGGAATATTTGCATTCTGTACAGGCATCCTTCTTTTCCCTCTGTCAATTAGGTTAGTATTGTGGAGTAACTACAAATGTTGTTGATCCATCCTCAGTTTTCTCCTATCACAGCCATTAAACTCTGTAACTGTTTAAAGGCACCATTGGCCACATGGTGAAATCCTTGAGCGGATTCCGTCCTCTCCGGCACTTTTATTGGCTACAAGTTCAGAGACAATGGAGTCAAATGCGAGACTAGAAAGTAAGCTGTATTATCATGCAGTGATATTATCCTACAGTGATATTATCCTACAGTGATATTATCCTACAGTGTGTGAACCAGAATTGTGAAGAGAATAATAGTGTTAGGCTAAATCTCAGGTTGTTAAATGCTGTATCAGAGGCAATTTATGGCCGACACACACTGTGGGTCATGTAGCCAAGATATGGTTGGTTTACTGTGCGTTTTGAAGCACCATCTGCGGATCTAGGGAAAAGAGAAAGTGTGTCTGGTCCTCTGGGTCCCATTTTGAATGTGTCCTCGTCAAGGGAAGAGAGAGCCATGATGAATAAAGTCACCCTAAATAAAGTAACCCTTGAGAGTAGGGATGAACTGCATTCATGTCAGGTTATGGTTAATTGTCTGTATATCATTGAAATATGGATTATTGGTTACTTAGTACACAAACCTATTAGCTATTTGTTTATGAACAGTATGAGAATTGTAACCATCACTATAATACATTCTCCCTTCAGCCATTGAAAACAAGACAGGTGAAGCTTTGGTAGGAAAATGCAAACTGTACCTACGCCAGTTCTTTAATTCCCAGAGATTACACTGAATATCAAAATGGGTGGCAAGACCTGGAAGCTTTCCAAAAACCATTAAACATTCAAATGTAGGTAACTAGACCTGACGATGCCCCCAAAGTCGGTCACTATGTAGGGACTATGGTGCCATTTGGGATGCAGAATACATTAGGTTACATACACAGATTCACACTCTGAGTTGGACTGAGTGCATTACTTCAGAGATTATTCACAACCAGACAAATCCATATACTAAAACAAATCAAATTATATTTGTCACATGCGCTGAATACAACAAGTGTAGACTTTACCGGGAAATGCTTACTTACGATCCCTTTCCCAACAATGCAGTTGAAAAGTATGAAAATTAACAAATAGATAAAGAAAATAGTAACACAATAAAATAACAATAACGAGGCTATATACAGGCTATATACAAGGAGTACCACCGGTACAGAGTATGTGTACTG